TCCTGCTTCCTTCTCCTATTTTTCCCCCAGTTCCCATTTCCTCACCCCCATCCGCAGTGCCCAGTTTAAACCACAACTCCCAGCCCAGTTTAAGCCACAACTCCCAGCCCTAGGAGAGGTTTTAAAGCTTTTATCGGAGGCCAGGGCCTTAAATTCACAATAAAACCCAACAAATAGCAATGATTCAGAACCTCTCTGCTGCAAAGAGCCAGACCAGGACCTCAATTAAGCCATTTGCAAATCGTTAATTTAAGAATCGCTCTCGGATGCCTTCAAATCGCTCCCTCCTGCCGTTTCCAAACGGGTAAAGAGCACGGGGATGTAAACGGAGAGGTCAGGAAATGCTGAGTTAACCGCTGATTTTGGCACCGAGAGCAGCTCCGGACTTGATTGAAATCCCGGGGCTGCCTTTGGAGGAAGAGCAGAGGTCCCCAGGTGAGGCGGGAGCTGCTGGGCGTCCCCAGGGGATGGAGCTGGAGAGCAAAACCTCACCTGGCTTGAAATATTCCATTTATTTCCTCTGGATTTAACCATTCCCAAAGCCCCAGTGATCCCGGGGCTTTTCCAGGTGTGTTGGGGCTTTGGAAATGATTCAATCCGAAGGAAATAAATGGAATTTTTCAAGCCAGGTGAGGTTTGGCTCTCCAGCAGCATCCCCGGAGCGGGATGGTCCCAGCGGGAGCAGCTCCCAGGGGTCAGAGTGACCCCCTGGATTTATCCCATGCTGCAGATTGTCCCCTGGGAGCAGGGACAGCCTGGCAGTGGCACAGGCAGGAGGTTTGATGTCTCCTGTGGCATTTTGGGATCTTCCTGCACAGAAAGGGGAGAAAATCTGCGGCTGCCTCCTCCCTGGACGTGTCCAAGTCAGGCTGGAGCAGCCTGGGACCGTGCGAGATGTCCCCAGCCATGGCAGGAGGTGAACCTTAGGGCTGCCTCCATCCCAAACCCTCCTGGGATCCTTCACTATCCCAAAGCTCTGTGAGGAGAGGATTTGTGCCCCCAGACCCCAGCACTGCCCTTGTGGAGGTTTTTCCTCTCCCCTCTCCCCAAATCTGGACTCCTGGCCCGGGCCCTGCTCCCAGCGCGGCCGCAGCCGCTCCTGGCGCTGGTCCCTTCCCCTTCCCCCTCCCGCGGGTGGAATTTTGGGATATTTTAAGTCAGAACCGGGCACATCTCCCGATCCTGCGGCCGATCTGAGCAAAGTGAGCAAAGGAAACGGGAAAAAGGTTCTGGAGCAGCGGGATTTGGGGCGGTGCCAGGGCGCCGGGTGCAGGCGGTGGGCGCCGGGCGCGCCGGGCGCCAGCCGGGCCCAGAAGGTGTTGCTGCAGCCCCGGCAGGCTGTGCCAGGCTCCGCTCGGCTTCGGGGAACAAATTCTCGCTTCTCCAGGAGGGGCTGGGTTCCACCACCAGCTGGGGAGCAAAACCCCAAATCCACGGGCTGATCCAGAGGGTGCCGGGGCGGCCGCGGCAACAGCTTGGGATGAGAGGGCCGTGGGAGGCTGGAGGGGACCTGCGGGTGCCAAAATTCCCTCGGCTCCACCTGGCAGAGCTTGGCAGCTCCCATCTGGGAGCGGCGCCGGGTGCTGCCAGCGCCGAGGGCGATGCCAGGCTCGGCAGATGTTGCCCGCGGATCCGAGCAGGCTGAGCCATCCCCGGAGCTGCCGCGACACCTCCGGCTGCTTCTGCTCGGGCTTTGAGGAGTTTTTGGTGTGATTTGAGAACTCAGCAGCAGTCACTTGGCTGGGTTTGATCAGGAGCAGCATTTCCGGGCCCTTGAGCTGTGAAAGGCTCGGAGCCGAGCGGTGCCAAAAGGTCTTTAAGGGTTTTTTGGGTTTTTTTTTGCTGCTTAACTCGGTTTCCTCCCAATCCGATACCTCACCGGCACTCGCAGCTCCCGGGGGGGAAAGGTTTTTCCGTCTGCCTGGAGAGGGGTTTTGCTCGTTTGAGACCCCTGGGGTTGGGGTTGGGTCTGGCGTGTCCTGCCTGTGCCATTGTCACTGTCCCCGCGGCCTCCAGCGCTGCCACCCCCGCCCCGGGGCTCAGGGATTGGGGTTGTGGTGTGAGGAGCGGGAATTTGGGAATTTGGGGATTTGGGGAAGCACTTCCTGACCAGGATCTGACATGATGCCACCCAAGGGAATGGGGCACATCCCTCCCCACCTGGCACTGCCATCCCGCAGGGATGGGCACAGCCATTCCCACCTGGCACCACCCATGGGCGCGTCCATCCATCCCCACCTGGCACCCCCCCGAGCTGTGCTGGGCTGACCCAGCCATGGGCAGTTTGGCTGAGCTTTTTTGGCCTCCCAGTGTCCCTGCCCTCCTGGGTAACCCCTCTGTCCCTCTGTGCCATCCCCGATCCTCCCCCTCCAGCGCTGTTTGTCCCCATCTCTGGTGGCCGTGCTGGCGACACAAAGGCCCCTCTGTGCCGCTGTGAGGGCACGGCCTGTGTGAATATTGCTCTATAGACTGGGCGAGGGCACAAAGCCCCGCTGTGTGTGCCAGCTCCGGGAGGGCGCCCGCAGTCCTGATCCGTGACTGTGCCACTGTTCCCACCCCAACCCTGATCTGTGACTGTGCCCATCCCAGCCCTGATCCGTGACTGTGCCACTGTTCCCACCCCAACCCTGATCCGTCACTGTCCCCATCCCAGCCCTGATCTGTGACTGTCCCACTGTCCCCATCCCAACCTCAATCTGTGACTGTCCCACTGTCCCCATCCCAGCCCTGATCCATGACTGTCCCCATCCCAGCCCCAATCTGTGACTGTCCCACTGTCCCCATCCCAGCCCCAGGGCACGGCCAGGCCTCCTTGTGCAGCTCTGGGGGCTTTGGGAGCTCGGGGTGAGGCCTTCTCAAGCCTTAACTGCTCACTAAAGCAGCACAGAACATGAAAACCATAAAAACTGAAGCTTAGGGCATCACGAGGAGCTCCGGGATCCACCGAGGGTGGGCCGGGAGCGGGAGAGGAGCGGGAAAGGAGCGGGAATGAACGGAGCATCCAGCGGCTCCCCGGGGGCTGCTGAGAGGGAAATCGTGTCCGGGAGCGCAGGTGTGAATGCCGATGTCTCACCCCGGCGTGTTGGGGCTGCTTTTAGCAGCTTTTTCCCGGGAATTGCCTCATGGACACCCTGCAGCTCTTCCCAATTCCCACCTCTCCTCCAGGCAGGAATCAACCTCACGTGGATAATATGGGATAGTAACGGGGGAAAGATCCCCTCGGCCCCAAAGCGAGGGAGAGAAGGGGAAAAATCCCCCGCGGTGCGTGTGGGGCGCGGGAACCGGCCCAGAGCGCTCAGCTGCGAGGAGAAGGAATCTTTTGGGAAGGTTCCTGGTGTCGTGAGTGCCGCCTGTGCCAGCTGTGACTCACGGCTGCGGCTGCTGGGGAGCCTGGAGAGGCTCCAAGAGGAGCTCAGGCCTCTGGAGTTTCTCCCTTCTCGCCCTGGGCTGGGAGCCAGGAGCGCTCCCGGCCCTGCTCTGTCCGTGCCTCAGTTTCCCCCGCATCAAAAATGGGGAAAATCCAAGGGGGTGTGAGCACTCCTGAATTCCCAGCTCTTCCCACCTGGAGCCGGGAATGGAGCAGGCAGAAATAAGATTTAAATTCTCAAAGCCTCTTCCCAGTGCTGGAAAAAATGAAGGAAACTGGGAAAAGTTGGAAGTGCTGAGATGGGTGGGGCCTTCCAGCGTGACAGGACCACAGGACACGAGTGTCCTGGTGGGTTTGGGATGACAGGAAAGGCACCAAGGGAAGTTTAAATTGGATATTAGGGACAATTTCCTCATGGAAAATGTTGGCAGAGCTGCCCGGCAAGGTGTGGAGTCACCACAGGGGGTTAAAGGTCACGTGGAGGTGGCACTTGGGGACACAGTGACACATCAGCGCTGGGGGAATGCTTGGCGGCCTTTTCCAGCCTTATTGATCCCAGACTCCAAGATTTTTAATCCTGTGGCATCAGCATTTGGACTGAATGTGACCTGGGGGGTCACAGCCCTGTGGGGTGGGGCGAGGTTGGGTTTGGGGTCCCTTTGGCTGGGGCAGCATCTCCCCGGAGCCCTGGGGGGGGCACCGCGTGAAACCCCCCAAAATGTGGGGGCAGGGATGGTTTAATGGGTTTGGGAGGAGTGGGAGGAGCAGGCTGCACCCCTCAGGTGTTCACTGCTCCTCCTTCCTTCGGGATCACCCCCTCACCCTGGGAATTTCGGGAATAGTCAATGCCGTCCATGGAGGTGGTGGCCTGACCCTGCCTGCAGTGACCAGCGCTGTGTCCTGGGGACAAACCAGGGGGGTTAGTTCTGGGGGACAAACCGGGAAAAGCAGTGGGGATAAACCCAGAAAACGTCTGGACAAACCCAGAAACCTCTGGGGATAAACCCAGAAAACCTCTGGGATAAACCCAGAAAACCTTTGGGAAAACCCAGAAACCTCTGGGACAAACCCAGAAACCTCTGGAATTCCTTCCCTGAGCTGCCGCGGGGATCAGCCGCGGGCTGGCAGCGGGGACATTTCGGGGTGTCCGTGCCCAGGGCTGCGCAGCTCGGTGACATCAGCGACATCCTGGCTCCTGGGGGTGGTGGCAGCACCCCGCGGTGTCACCGCCAGGGACACGGGGAGGGCAGGGGGACAATCCGGGCACTGATGGCCCTGCCCGGCTGCTGGCACTGCCCGGCCCATGTGATGCGTTTGAGGGGGCACGCTGACATTTCCAGGGGAAGGAGGGGAGGGAAAAAAAATCCCCGGGGGACCCGCAGGGAGCTCCGAAACGGCGGAAAACAGCGAGAAGCGTCCGCGCCCAGCGGAGCGAGCGGAGGGACAAACCGGGAAGGGGGGAAAGTAGCCAGGGCAGGGCCAGGATGTGAGGGGAAGCGATGGGAGCTGGCGGAGGAGCGGGAGCAGGGAATGCCGGCCGTGGAGACGGCTCTGGGAGCCCCTCGGTAGCGCGGGGACAGCCGCGGGGAGCGCTCGCAGCATCCCGGCCGCGCTGCGGCTCCGCTCCCCGGCGCGGAGGACTCGGCGCCGCGTTTGAGGCGGCGGTGGCGGCGCTGGGTTTGAGGTGACAGCGGCGGCGCTGGATGCGAGGTGACAGCCGCCGCACGCCTGCGAGGTCAGAGCTGCGCGATCAGGTCGGTGCCACCCTCCCCTCGCTCGGTAAGGAGCGCACCCCGCGTTCAGTTGGCACCGGCAGCCAGCGCAGCCCGATCCGGCGGCTCGGAGCGGACCCCGCGGGCCCGGAGCTCGGCTTTGAACGCCGAAATGCTCAGCGAGAGCGTGCCCGGCCCGGGCTGAGCAGGTGCCATGAGCCGCGTGTGTTTGTCGCGCAGATCGGCGAGCCGCGCTCCGAGCCGAGCCGCCTGCCGCTGCCCCAGCCATGCTGCCCCGCCGGGCAAAGCAGCCCCCTGGAGCTTCCCCCCGAGCCGCGGCGAGGCTGCGGGAGCCGGCCAGAGCCAGCCAGCCCGGGGACTGCCGGCTGCCAGCGCTGCTCGTGGGTACGGACCGGGGGGCACGTGGGGAAGGGGGGGTGCAGGGTCCGCAGGGTCCCGGGGGTGAGCTGTGCCCCGGGAGTGATCGATGGAGGGGGTGGGGTGGTCTCGGACCCTCACAGGGGGCTCTGGAATGGTCTGGGGATGGTCTCGGACCCTCACAGGGGGCTCTGGAATGATCTGGGGATGGTCTCGGACCCTCACAGGGGGCTCTGGAATGGTCTGGGGGTGGTCCCAGCCCCTCACAGGGGGCTCTGGAATGGTCTGGGAATGGTCCCAGCCCCTCACAGGGAGATCTGGAATAGTCTGGAGTTAGGGGGGCACGTGGGGAAGGGGGGGTGCAGGGTCCGCAGGGTCCCGGGGGTGAGCTGTGCCCCGGGAGTGATCGATGGAGGGGGTGGGGTGGTCTCGGACCCTCACAGGGGGCTCTGGAATGGTCTGGGGGTGGTCCCAGGCCCTCACAGGTGGATACTGCCCCGTGGGGGGGACAGAAGGCCCAACCTGGGGACAGTCCCAGCCCCTCACAGGTGGGCTCGGGGGTGACCTGAGGATCCCAGTCCCTCACAGGTGGCCTCTGCCCAGCAACTGGTGCACGGTGGGGGCTGGGGGGTGGCTCCAGCCCCTCACAGATGACCTCTGGGGTGGCCTGGGGTGGCCCCAGCCCCTCACAGGTGACCTCTGGGGTGGCCTGGGGTGGCCCCAGCCCCTCACAGGTGGGCACAGATGGCGTGGGCTGCGCCGTGCCCGGCTCTGAAGGAAGGAGGAGGAGGAGGCGCAGGGCTGCCGGCAGCTGCTGCTGCCCTCCTTTTGCTTGACTAAACCCCGCTGCCTGGACAGCTCTGGCTGCCGCTGGTGGGAGGCGGCGGGCGGGGGGGACGCGGCTGTGCCCCCGCTGTGCCCGGCAGGGCAGGATGGGACAGCAGGGGACAGCAGGGGACAGCAGGGTGTGCTCAGCGGGCCGAGGGGTGGCACAGCGCGCTGGCACTGTCCTCGTGTCACCCGCAGCGTCTCGAGGAGGGGTGTGCCACCAGCCCTGGAGGGACCGGCTCGGTGTCCCCGCGGCCAGGGGGATGTGTCACATGTCCCCGCAGCGTCCCTGTCCCGTGGCTGCTCAGGCTGACAGCGAATCCTTGCAGGATTTCACCCCGTGTTTTCCATCCCTGAGCACGTTTTCCTGCATCTCGGAGGCCTCAGCCGAGGCTCTGAGATATTTTTTTTTCCCAGCTTTTCTGATTTTTAATGAGCTGTGACTAACCGGGCTGGCACGGCAGGCGGTGACCAAGCATCAGCGTGCTACCTGTGTGCCCAGAAATAGGGGCTGCTCTCCACACCCCCGCCGGGAGCATTCCCGGCCCCCCCGGGACACCCACCCAGCTTTTCCCAGGCTCTCCCACGCCTGGCGGTGCCCAGCTCCCAGCAGGAGTCACCCAAAGGGGCAGTGCCACCCAAATCCTGCCCGGAGGATGTGGGATCACGGCTCGGTGCTGTGGATGGAGCTGCTGAGCTCCGGGGTGGGCTCTGAGCCCATCGTGGGGGTGGCAGAGCCAAGATTTGGGCGAGCTGGGTCTCCTGTGCCAAGGATGGGGCTGGGCTGAGCATGGCTGTGGGATTGCCGTGGTCCCAAGCCCTCTGAGCCAGGAAAAATCCCCTCTCTGAATGCTCCCTCATGGAATTGAGCCCTTTGGAAACCCCCAGGCTTGTGGGGCAAAGGGTTGGAAATGCTGAGGGTTTGGCTTGGACCCTCCCCTCGTGGCCTCCCTGTGAGGATCCATCCCTCATGGAGTGGGATTTGGGATGCCAAAGGCCCCGTGCCCGGCTCTGGGCTTTGCCCTGGCAGCTGCTGGCGGCCTCGGGCCAGACTGGAGGGTCACAGTCCCTTCCGCTGCTCCCTCCCGTTCCTCCTGTCATGGATGTGACGGGGTTTGGATGGGATTTTGGGAAGGAATTCCTCCCTGGGAGGGTGAGGAGGGGCTGGGATGGAATTCCTGGAGAAGCTGGGGCTGCCCCTGGATCCCTGGGAGTGTCCCAGGAGCCACCTGGGACAGGGGGAGTTGGCTCTGCTTCCCCAGACGAGCTGACACGGCTGAGTCACGGCCCCACATCCTCACCCGCCCCGCACGGAGCCTGCCAGGACCCAAAATCCTGGGAAAATCCTTTCAATTCGGATCGTGTTTTCCCCCTGCTCCCACCCCGGGTTTGACTCCCTCCCCGCTCAGCAGCCGGACCCGTGTGTGTCTCCTCCGTGCCTCAGTTTCCCTGTGCCAAGGAGGTCCCCGGGCCATTCCCATGGCAGCTGCCAGGTCCCGGCTGTGCCGCGGGGGTGGCGACGAGACCACAAAGCGCCTTCTGTGGGAGCCTGCCCTGGCCTCGCCTTTATTTTTATCCCGCGTCCCCAAGCTGCTGGCACGTCGCCAGCCCTGCCAGCCGAGGATGTCACCCTTGCCAGGGCACGCAGGGCTCCGTCCTCCTCCTCCCGGTGGCTCTGCCCCGGGCAGGGATGTTTTCCATGCGCCTGGAATGCCCGGCTCAGCCTCCAGCCAGCGGCTGGACACGGAGCCGAGGGCAGCGGGAAGATTTTCCCAGCTCTCCCAGCTGGAATTTGCCCTTCCCACCCTTTGCTTCTCATTTTTCCTTGGCTTGCCGAGGGCAGTGGGAAGATTTTCCAGCTGGAATTTCTCCTTCCCTCATTCCCTCTGCCCCTCATTTTCCCTCCACTTGCCAAGGACAGTGGGAAGATTTTCCAGGTTCTCCCAGCTGGAATTTGCCCTTCCCACCCTCTGCCCCTCATTTTTCCTCGGCGTGCTCCTTGCTGCACAGCTCCAAGCGAGCATCCAGGTGTGCCGGCCCTTCCCTTGGCACTGGATCCCCGGGATTTTGGGAGGTGAACTCGTCTCCCGTCTCCATGTGGGCGCGTGGGCGCGATCACACCCGGCGAGGTGGGAAAAAGTGGCGGCTGCTTTTTCCAGGGCCGGCCAGATGGGATCTCTCCCTTCGCTTTGGGTTCTGACAAGTGACACGCAGGATTTATCCGGTGCCTTCGGCGCTTCCCGAGGGAAGGAGCCGCCTGGCAGGGCAGTGCCAGGGGCGATGCCAGCTGAGCCCCTCCGAGCTGCAGCCTTGGGGCGAGCTCCGTGTCCCGGCGCCGCTCCGGGCTGGGAATTTGTGGGATGCGGGCGGGGAGAAGGCGGCGCCCAGGGCTGGGAACGGGCAGGATCCCAGGATTTCCCGCGGAGAATCCGGACTGGCACCGTGAGCGGGCACGGTGCCCCTGCCCAGAGCCAAGTGGGATCTGCGGGGTCCCGTCTGGGAAGTTCCCAGCGGAGCTGTGTGTGTGTTTGTATGGGGGGGATGTTTAATTTTCCGCCGTTCCACTGGAAGTTGGGAGTGAAAGGCGCGGCGGGGAGCCCGCTGAGCCCCGGCAGGGATCCTTGGGAAGAGGGGATGAGGCTGGAGAACAATTCCCGCATCCCGGGGGACATCGCGGGGGACATCCCGGGGAGGTTTGTCCCCTGCTGGGTGCTCACGGTCCCCTGCGGGTGGCCTTGGCGTCACCTGGCTCTTCCCAAGGGATTTGATGGCCGCTCCATGAGCCCGGCAGCGAGGGGAGGATGGGGAATTTTCATCCCGGTCACCGGCAGCTTTAGCTCCTGTGCCGCTGTGAGAGGGACAAGGACACCCTGCAGTCCCCTCACTCCCACATTCCCGTGCTGGGATGGACCGTGCCCCGCTCCCGGCATTCCCGCAGCCCCAAGGCTGGAATTCCCTGGGAATTGGCTTTAAGTGGCCAGACCCGGCCAGGGTTGGCCCTGTCGGGGACATGGCGGTGGCGGGGGACACCGCTGTCCCCCGGTGTCGCCTGCCTTGTCCCTGCTCCTGGGCTCGCCTTTGCTTGGATAACTTCAGCATGTGGGCAGCTCCCAGCACTTTTGGGGTGTGAGGGCGGGTCCTGGAAGACGCTTGACCATCCCAAAATGAGTGGACACCAAGGTGGCGGAGCCAGGGGCGGGACAGCAATGGCTCGGCCGGTGACTCTGAGCCACCTGGCGAGGTGGAATCGCCCCGCCCGCGGCAGGGCTGGGATCTGTCTGATTTTCCCACCTCACACCACTCCAGAATTCCCTGATTTCCCACAGGCGCGACTCCGGCAGGGCGCGCATCTCCAGGGCCGGCTCTGCAGCACCACACGAGTTAAACCGCGCGGCGCAGCAGCTCCCCCCGCTCTCCCCACGCCTCCTCCCACTCCCGGCAGCGCGGCACGGAAGGGGTTAGCACCGGGCAGGGCTCCGGGAGCCGGGCAGGCTCGCTGGGCGCCGGGCAGTGCGGCAGAGCAGCCTCCGGGAGGAAGCGGGAGCATCCCGCTCTTCCGGCCGCGCTAATGGCCGGGCGCGGGGGAGCCGCATCGCTCCGAGGGGCTCCCACCCTCCCGGCTGCCTCTCTCCCCAAATGCACTCCCCGCCTCCCCTCCCCTCGCCCCTTTTTGTGCGAGCGCTTTCTCGGGCGATTCTCCACGCTCCGCTGATCGCTCGCCGCGACCCGCGCGAGGTTTCGCCGCCTCATGAAGATTGATGGGACTGCAGTAATAAACTGGGCTTGAGACATTCCTCTGGATGATAAACCCCGCTGCTAAAGGGGGGATCCCAGCCGGATCCCGCAGCCGCTCCTCTTTTTGGGGGCCTTTCCCTGCCCTGCCTCTCAGGAGCTCCTGCCAACGCCGTTCCTGAAGATTTCCACCCAAACCGGTGCCTCCGGTACCGCTGTTTTCCCGGGAAGGACGTGATGGCCGTGCCCTGCTAGCAGCCCGGGGCTCCGGCCCCGGCACGGGTGACACCTCTGCTGGCAGGTGGGGACGATGGGTGGATGAATCGGCAAAGAGAACCGCGTTCCCTCAACCTCCCTCTGCTCGGAGAGGGGCTGGCCAGGATCTACCGCGGCATCCTGGCCGTCGTGGGAGCCCTGCGCCCGGCCAGGGAGCCGCCCGCAGCCCCCGCCGAGCGGAGCGCTGCCCCCTCCGCGCCCCCCGAGCCGCTGCCCGGCCGCCGTGGGAGCCGCGCTGCGCCCGCGGGTAAGCCGGGGGACGGTCCCCTGGGGGGGACACGGCCCGCAGGGTGTCCCGATGGGCTGGGCAGCTCGGGGAGGCTCCGGCCGGCTCTGCCACCCCAGTGACCTACTTGGAAGCAGCCTCGGGAAGCACTTTCCAGGGATCTGCGGCGGCCGTGTGCGCACCGCTGCGTTCCTGAACTGCTGGAGGAGGAGGGGAAAAAAACTTTGTGGGAGGTTTGAGGTGGAATTATCCGCAGGAGGGAAGGATTAACAGCCTTTCCTTCTGCCTGGCCCTGAGGGTTTCAGGTTCCTTTCCCCAGACGAGCCCCCCAGGCTGTTTCCTTGCGGGACCATCCCTGCCCGCTGCGGGTGGCATCTCCGGATGGCATCTCTGGTGGCATCTCCGGAGCGCTGACACGAGGCCAGCGCACGTGGCTGCGGCGACTTTTCCTCCCCTGTCCTGGGAGGGGGTCTCGGGTCACAGCATTTGCGATGTTGCGGGGTCGGGGCCGCCTCATCCTCGCTGGCCCCGCGTCGCGGGGATGGAGAGGGCAGCGGGATCCGGGGCTGGCAGAGCCCCTGGGGGGCTGCAGCTCCTCCCTGCCCCTGTTCAGATCATCCCTCGGAGCGGGCGAGCGGAGCTGGCGCGTTCCGCTCCCGGAGCGTGTAATTAGCGAGCGGGGAGCCGCATGCTGATCGCCAGGCGGGGGGAGCCGGGAAGGAGCTGCAAACGCGGCCTCAGCCCGGCGCTGCTGCGGCGGGGCTGGAGCAGGACCGGGAGGTGGTGGCGGGGAACAAACCCCCTCTGTCACCCCCAAAATCCCCGTCCCTGCAGCTTCCTCCGGCTCCGGGAGGATGAGGAGCTGCAGCTCCCTCTGCTGCAGCTGCGGCTGGCCGGGCGCGCCTTCATCCCCATCCCCGGGCACAGAATTCCCGTGGGATGGGAGAAATCCGGGAGTTCTGCGGCGTCAGGACCCGGCATTCCTCAGGGGTTGTTTTGGTGCGCTCGGAGCACAGCGGGGCTGGCGCAGGGTGCGATCGCCCACCCCGAGCAGCCCCCTGGCTGCTCCCGAGGGGGCTCCGGAGCTTTCCAAGGGCTCCGAGGCTGTGGCTGCGCTGGGTGTTGGGTGCTGGGAGCAGCTCCTGCCCAAATTTCTGCTCTGGGATCGCGCACCCGGGGCTGGGCAGAGCGGCCGAGGCAGGGGAGGAGTTTTCCAGCTTGGATCTGCACTTCCCAGTGAGGAACGCGCGTTGTGGGGCGGTGAGGGGAGCGGGGAGAGGGGCAGGCAGCTCCTGGGGGTCCCGAGGGGGTCAGGACGAGCTGCTCCAGCGGGATTGCCCATCAGGGCTGGAATTCGGCAGCCGCTGGGAGCGGTGCCATGCCCGTGTCCCCTCGGCCATCAGGGTCCCCTCGGGCCACTTCCCCCGGGAGAGTTTGGGGTGTTTGGTGTGGTGGAGGTGCCACCGTGACCTCCCCGGTGCCACGGGGACCTCCCAGTGCCACCAAGACCTCCCTGGTGCCACCGTGACATCCCTGGTGCCACTGTCACCTCCCCGGTGCCACCGTGACCTCCCCAGTGCCACGGGGACCCGGCAGAGCGAGGCAGGGACGGGATCTTCAGCTCTTGCCACATCCCAGCTCCGTTTTCTGGGAAAAGGGGGTGACAACCCGGCCAAGGTGACATTCGGTGACGGAGCTGTGAGGGACGGAGCTGCACCGGTGGATTTTGGAGGAGGGAAGGCTTTGGGATGTCCCCGTGGCGTTTGCGAGCGCGTGATGTCCCTGCTGGGCTGGTGACAAAGCCTCTCGTGCGACCTTGAGCGGAGGAATCGCGGCCGTGGCCCCCCTGATAACGTTTTCTTATCAGTTTGATATCAAACCGATCTGCTGGGCTGATAAATAATGGAGGGAAAAGGGAAAAAAAAAAAGAAAAAAAAAAAGGCAAAATGGACAAAAACCTCGCCATGATTTGTTTACCGGGAGCTGGGGAGGGAAGGCACGGGAAAAAGCAGGAGCTGAATTGTGGCTCAAGGTTAAAAGGGGAGCAGGAGAAGGAGGCTGAACCCCGCAGAACGAGCTGCGAAATTCACCGGTGGTGCCAAAGCCAGCCCCGTGGCCTCGGGCCAGGCTGGCACCGCTCCAAGGCCTGGGGACAGCGGCTCCCAGATGGAGTGAGACCCCCCAAAGTGGCTTTTTGGGGTCCCGGAGCCGCCCCGCAGGGGGCACGGGGCTGGGCAGGGGCCGGGGGCTGCGGGGTGGCCTCGGGCCGCGGGCACCGAGGCGGTGCCAGGCGCTGGCAGCGTGCGGGGACTTCCAGGCATCCATCGGCTCTTGCGGCTTCCCTGGAAGTCAGATCCCAGCGTGCTCTGGATGAGCTATTAGCGAAAGGACGAGTCCTTGTCACCTCTCTGCTCCTGGGACCCTCTGTGTGTCCCCCTGTGCCCTCCCCGGGCTGGGCTGAGCCCCGGGAAGGGCTGGGAAGGGGCAGAGCATCCCGGGCATCCCGGGTTTTGTACCCTCGGGCACCGGGAAGGGCTGGGAAGGGGCAGAGCATCCCGGGCATCCCGGGTTTTGTACCCTCGGGCACCGGGAAGGGCTGGGAAGGGGCAGAGCATCCCGGGGAACCCGGGGTTGGTGTTTCCGGGCACCGAAAAGGGGCTGGGATAAGAGAGTCCCGGGAATTCCGGGTTTGGTGCCCGCGGGCACCGGGAAGGGCTGGGATGGGGCAGAGCATCCCGGGGCTGGTGTTCCCCGGCTCTGGGAAGGGTTGGGATAAGCGAGAGCATCCCGGGAATCCCGGGCTCGGTGCCCGCTGGCCGGGCTGGCCCCTGTGAGCAATGACTGCAGGATGGGCACTGAGCCGCCGCTGGGGTCTCGGGGGGGACATGGGGGTCCTGTCCCCCTCCCCAGCCCAGTGCCCGCACACACTGCCCTCCCCCCACCCTGCCTGATTTCATTTTCTTTTCGCTCTGTCCTGTGTCCGTGTCCCCCGTGTGTCCGCGCTGCGGAGCTGTGTCCGTGTCCCCGTGTCCCCCGTGTTTCCTGTCCCTGTCCCGTGTCCCGTCCGTGCTGTTTTCAGTCACCCAGCGCTGTTTCATTCCCGTTTCGCTCCGATCATCGCGGCTTTGGTGGGATCCCAGCCCCTGCATCCCCCGGCCCCTCCATCCCCGCTGTCCCCTCATGTCCGGGAGTGGGGACAGCGCTGCCACCGCAGGGGGACGAACCCGGCACCCACCCCCTTCCCCGGGCACTCCCTGAGGGATGATCCCACTCCCTGCACCCCATTGAGGGATGATCCCTCTGTGTGCACCCCACTGAGGGATGATCCCACTGTGTGCACCCCACTGAGGGATGATCCCACTGTGTGCACCCCCTGAGGGATGATCCCACTCCCAGCAAGCCTCTGCCATCGCTCCTTGCTGAAATCCCCAACCCCAAATCCCAGCCTTCAACCTCTGCCCCACGGAGGGGACTGTCCCCCCTTTCCCCTTGTCTAGGGACCGTCCCCCACCTCTGCCCCATGGCCGGGGACGGTCCCCAATCCCTGCCCCACGTCGGGGGGGACCATCCCCCCTCTGCCCCATGTCAGGTGTCCCTCCCCTGACCCCGCTGTTCTCTCCCAGTACCCACACAGATCCCGACAGGATGAGTCCCCCCCTGTGCCCCATGGCCGGGGACTGTCCCTGTCACTGCCCCATGGCCGGGGACTGTCCCTCCCTGTGCCCCATGGCTGGGGACTGTCCCTCCCTCTGCCCCATAGCCGGGGACTGTCCCCCCGCCCTGCCCCACGCCCGGGTCGCCCCCTGACCCCGCCGTGCTCTCCCGCTGCCCGCGCAGATCCCGACAGGACGAGCTCGCACATGATCTCCGCGGACGATGCCGAGTACCCGCGCGAGTACCGCACCCTGGGCAACGGCACCCGGCGCTTCTCCAACGTGGGGCTGGTGCACACCTCGGAGCGCCGGCACACCGTGATCGCCGCCCAGAGCCTGGAGGCGCTCACCGGCCTCCAGAAGACGGAGATGGAGCGCAAGCGGGACGCCTTCATGGACCACCTGAAGAGCAAATACCCGCAGCACGCCCTGGCGCTGCGCGGGCAGCAGGAGCGCCTGCGGGACCAGGTGAGCGCGATTCCCGGGATGGAGGGGCTGGGGGCGCCTCGGGATGGACGGGGAGAGGAGAGAGGGGGCGCTGGGTGGGCGTGAAAAGGGGGTGGGTGCGGCAGCGGCCGGGGAGCATCCTCCGCGGGGAAGGGAGGGAATATTCCAGGGGTGAGAAGGAGAATATTCCACTGGTGAGAAGGAGAATATTCCAGGGGTGAGAAGGAGAATATTCCAGGGTGAGGAAGGGAATCTTACAGGGGTGAGGAAGAGAATTCTCCAGGGGTGAGAGAGAGAATTCCCCAACCCCGAGGGAAGAATCTTCTATGTGCGACAGAGAGTGATGGGCGTGGGGAGGAGAACCCCCCAGGGGTGGGGAGGAGAACCCCCCCGGTGTGGGGACGGGAATCCCCCAGGTGTGGGGAGGGGAATCCCCCAGGTGTGGGGAGGGGAATCCCCCAGGTGTGGGGAGCAGAACCCCCCAGGTGTGGGGAGCAGAACCCCCCAGGTGTGAGGATCCCCCCGCATCTGGTGGCCTTTGCTGAGCACAGCAGAGCCCTGGGGATGGGCTGTTTGCGGGGGGGGGGCTATCCCTCTTTTGGGGTGTGCTGGGGACCCCAAAGCCCTGACTTGGCTCTGGTGACACGCCGGTGACACCGATGTGGCAGCAGTAAATCCCCACCTCCCCCTGGGCAGCAGAACCCGGAGCACGCCTGGCAGGAAACCTCAAATCATACCAAAAATCCCCAGGGGACAAAGGCCCCAAAATTCCCAAATTCCCAAAACTGGCTTGCTGAAGGAAATCCAGCTTTGCCAGGAAAACCAGTGCCATGGGAGCTGCTGCCCCCCAAATGCATCCAAACCTCCAAATTTTGGTGAGGGGACAATAATTGTTGGTGGCTTTGCTGTCACAATCCATATTTGGGGCATGTCCAGGCATGGTGGGCTGCTTCCCAGTAAATAAATAGGATTTTTTTTCCCTATTATTACAGGGATTTAAGGGGACAATAATTGTTGGTGGCTTTGCTGTCACAATCCACATTTGGGGCATGTCCAGGCATGGAGGGCTGCTTCCCAGTAAAAAAAAAGAAAAAAAAAAAAAAAAGGAAAAAATCCAGCTGGAGTTGGCTCAGGTCTGATAAGCTGCTGAGGATTTTTATAGGTGAAGGAATGATCTGGATTTGGGAATTATCTCCTTTATTCCCAAACTCAGCCTGGATTTTTGGGCTTGGTTGCAGCTTATTCCCCACCAAAACACCCCAAAATCCTACCATTTTTTTTTTCCTTTACCCACCTTCTTTTCCTTCATTTCCCTGGCAGGCAGTAAATAATAACAGGAATCCAGAAATCCTGGGAAGCTCAGGTGCCAACCTTTAAATGACATTGGGATCCAGCCCTGCCTGGAATGTTCGAAAATCACTTTGGTATTCCAGAGGAGCCTGGAAGGGATTTCAGAGTCACAGGCTTTACTGTTTTATTGGGATTTAAAAAAAATAAATAAAAATAAAAAAATAAGATAAAAAGAAAAAGAAAAAATCTAAAAAGGAATAAAAGGAGGGAAAACAAAAACCATTTGAGGGAGTTTAGAACAGCAGAGGTGAAAAGGAACATTCCATAAATGTCAACATCCCTTCCAGCCTGGCAAAAATCCGTTGCTCCCGGGAATCCTTTGCCTTTCCTGATGGCGCTCGGGGCTGTGAGGAACACGCAGGGCACACAGGTGGCACCGGGACAGGTGGCACCAGGACAGGTGGCACCGGGACAGGTGGCACTGGGACAGGTGGCACCGGGACAGGGGGGTCCTGCAGAGCCCGGGCACAGGGGGAGCCCGCTGGGTGATGGAGTGTGTGAAGCCAGCTGTGAATCCAGCTGTGTGGGAATCCAGCTGTTTGTGAATCCAGCTGTTTGTGAATCCAGGTGGGAATCCAGCTGTGAATCCAGCTGTGTGTGAATCCAGCTGTGTGTGAATCCAGCTGTGTGTGAATCCAGCTGTGAATCCAGCAGTGTGTGACTCCCCGTGTACACCCACACGCACATCCACGTGTGCACATCCCTGCGTGTGCCCGTGTGCGTTTCCCTGTCCCCATCCGTGTCCGTATCCCTGTATTTCCCTGTCCCTGTCCCCATCCCTCTCCCTTGTCCCTGTCCCTATCCATGTCCATATCCCTGTCCCCATCCCTGTATTTCCATGTCCCCATCCCTGTCCCCATCCCCGTTATTTCCCGGTTATTTCCCGGTTATTTCCCGGCTATTTCCCGGCTATTTCCCCGTTATTTCCCGGTTATTTCCCCATTATTTCCCCGTTATTCCCCCACGTGCCCCGCCGAGCCGAGCCGAGCGGGGCCGAGCGGCGCTGCGGATCCCGACCCGCAGCGCTCACCTGCCGCAGGTACCGGGCAGGAACGCGCGGGATGGAACGGGATAGAACGGGATGGAACGGGATGGCGCGGGATGGAGCGGGGGGCATCCCTCCGGGCGCTGACGGAGCCGGTGTGCGCCCCCCGCTGCTGCGGCTCCCCGCCGGTGTCCCCTGCCCCAGCTGTGCTGCTGTCGCTCCTACCCACCGCAGTGTCCCCCTCCCCAAAATTCCCACCCCGCGCTCCCGGTTCCCGTCGGCAGCCGGGGGCGTCCTTACCCCGGCCCCAGACCGGGCGCAGCCCCTCCGGCGTCCCCTCTCCTTTAGCGCCCCCGCCTCCTTCCCCAGCCCCCCCTTTCCCTTCAGCCTCCCCCCGTCCCCGGGGGTCCCCCCCCGTCCCCGGTGTCGCGGCGGGGAGGGGGTGGCACTTTGTGGCTGCCATCGTCCCTGCGTGCCCTTCGGTGCCGCAGCCGGGGGGGCTCCCCTTGTCCCCTCGGGGTGCAGAGGGGGTCGTGCAAAGCCCTGCCGGTGGCCGTGCCACCCCCCTGCGCGTCCCCCGCTGTCACAGGGCCGCTCCTCGTTGTCACCCGTGTCCCGGCAGGGGACAGCGATCCCCCGTGCCCCCCTCGGGCAGCGGAGAGGGGCAGATGGTGGCCGGGGCACGCAGCCCCTGCCGCCTCCAGCTCAGCTGGCCGAGCGTCCTTCCCGCGGGCTGCGCCCAAAGCGGAGCCCTGCGGCGGCAGGAAAGGCTCGACCTCACCTGCAAAGCCCGCAAGAGGCGGCACACGGCCTGGGTACCGCCGCGGTGCCCGGCCGGGCTGGGGCTGCCCCGCACGGCAGCTCTGGGGGCACCGGGGCGCTCGGTGGGGACGGTGAGCGCCGGCTGGGGCGGCACGGGAGGCGGCAGCGTGGTGGCACAGGCGACGCGGGGTCCCTCGGGGCTCTTCCCGCGGTGTCATCTTGGTCTCCAGAGGTGGAGAGTGACGGGAGGCGCTGAAATGGTGGAGCGCGGCTGCCGCGAGTAACACGAGCGCTGTGTGCGTGTCCCCGGGGCTGCAGCCGGAGCCGGCCCTATCGATTCCCTCATTCCAACCTCCCCGGCAGCGATTCCCGGCTCGTTCCAGCAGCTGGCTGGGAATGGGCGCGCTGGAGTCAGGCTGAACTCCGCGGGGCAACCCTCTTCTCCTCGGTTGGGGTTTTTTTATGGAAGCGGGTCTTGAAGTCCCCAGGAATTGGGTAAAAACCAGGCTGGGAGCAGCGATGACAGCGCCGGGGGGGCAGAATGAGTTGGTGGGAGTCGGGCAGGGAGATGCCCGGGAGGTGCCCGCCAGGAATTGGAGGTGGGGATGCTCCCCTTGGCACGGCCGGGCTCCTGGTTCTCCCCCCGGAAGGGCTGTGAGCATTCCTGCTTCACACATGGGCAGGGTGAACGCGTCCATCCCTCTGCCCGTCCCTCTCTCCGTCCGTCCATCCATCCATCCATCCATCCATCCATCCATCCATCCATCCCTCCATCATCCATCCATCATCCATCTATGTCCCCATCCCTGTCCATCCGTCCATCCATCCATCCATCCATCCATCCATCCATCCATCCATCCATCATCCATGGATCCATCCCTCCATCATCCATCCTCTATCCATCCATCTGTCCGTCCGTCCATCTGTCTGTCCCTCCCTCCCTCCCTGCCCTGAAGTTTCCCGCTGTTCCCACCCCGAATTTCTCTCCTCTCCCGGTGACCCCGGGGCTCGCGGTCCCGCTGCCCGCCGTGGCTTTCCGGGGAGGGGACAGAGCCCTGCAGCAGCCGGAGCGGCTCCGCCAGCCCGCGGGGACACGAGGGGACAGAGGAAGGGCAGGGCGGGCTCCAGCAGCGTGCCGGGCTCTTCCTCACCCCCAGCTCTGCCGGGAACGGGGGGGCTCAGCCCCCCCCGCGCTGCCGCGACCCCCGCGGGGACCCTGCGGTGGGGACGCGGCTGCTGTGCCCCCCCACGAGGGGACGCCAGCCCTTGTCCTTGGCGTTTCTCAAGGGTTTATCCATCTTTGCCGGGTTTGGGGGTGCCGGATGGAGCGGGGGGGTCACCCCGGAGCTGCGGGGCTCGGCCGAGCGCGGGGCGCGGCGGGGAGCGGGGCCGGCCTTACCGTGCGCGTCCCCATTGTGCTCGGTCCACCTACGCCGTGCCGTTGCCATGGCCACCGTGCCATCCGATCTGCCCGGCTCCTGCCAGCTCCCCCTGCCCTGCCCTGCCCCGAAACCTGCGGGCTGGCGCCTCGGGGACGCCTTGACCCCGGTGCGCGGCTCGGCGGCGCTCCCGCATCGGGCGGCGACAGATCCGAGCCCCCCGCCCCGCTCCTGAGGGTGCCCCGAGAGCCAAACGCGGCCCCCGGGGCTCCTGCGGCGGGGACAGGGGCTGACCTTGGCCGGGGCTGCCGCACGAGGGGATTTGGGAGCCCCAGCATGGCCGCTCCTCGGCAGAGCGCGGACTGAGGCATCGCTGCGAGCAGGCGCTGCGGATTCCCCTGCTCGCGGCCGGAGCCGGGGCCGGGCGAGAAAAGGAACCCCTGGCCAGCCCTGCTGGGGCTCCGGTGTCACCGGTGTCACCGGCGCTGTCCCCAGGGCCTGTAATTAGCGCTGATGGGCTTGGGGAGGGGAGGTGCGGGGGCCGGCGGAGGGGGCTGGAGGGGAAGGTTGGGGCTGCGTGGTGGTGCTGGGGGGTCTGTAGGGGAGGCCTGACGTTGAGTGGCCGCGACGGGCGGCGGTGGCGCCTCTGATGTCACCTCGATGGCCGTCAGAGCCCTCTCTGGGTGGAGGGGCAAGGCTCCAAGGCTGTGCCTGAAAGAGGAGCAGCAGAACCTCGCGGGGGCTCTGGGAGCCGCCTGACAGGCCCAGGTGTGACGGGGACGAGCCCCAGCCCTCCTGTATCCCATCCTGTCCCCAGTGTCCCCTGCCCTGGTCACATTTGAGAGGTGCCTGCAATAATTGTGACACCTCAGGTGACAAAATCTGCAGCCCCCGCTCTGTCTGGTCACTGTTTGCATTCTTCTCCCTGTCTTGTCATGCTGCTATTTCCACTTTAATGCACTTTCGCTGGCGCTGAAAAGCATTTAAAAAAAAAAAAAAAACCCACAAAAAAAACCCACCCAAACAAAACCAGAAAAAACAACAACCAAACAACTTTAATAAGCAGAAACAGATTAAATTCACTTGGCTGTTATTTTTCAAGGAGATTTTTGTTTGTCAAGACGCGGTGCCTGAGGGTGGGGGACTCGATCGGAAGCTGGAGCTCCTGGAAATGAGTTAATTAAAAAGCCGATGAAGCTGCCTCTGTCCTCCCTGGGAGTGCGGGGCGGCGGCTGCCGCTGCTGCCCTTTCGAGAGGGACACGGTCGTGCCTCGTTAATCACCAACAGATTTGTGATTTAATTGCCATTCAGGGGAAGTCCCCCTCGGTCGAGGCGCTGACTCACTTGGATTTCATTTCATTTACCTCCCGTCAGCTCCTGGGACAACCACAACCACCATTTAATTTATTTTATTTTTTCAAACTTGACTCCCGAAATACTCCCGATTGCGTCACTGCGGCCCTGCTTCCCTGCCCCGCGTGTGTGTCCATCCCTCCGCCCTCCTCCCGGCTCTTCGGGGACCCGAGCTCCTCGTTATTCCCTCGTTTGGCAGCACCACGGACATGACTCTCATTGTAATTATAAATCACAGCCTCTGTAATTCCCTGCACCTTTTGCAGAGTTGCTGCTGCAAGGAGCCGCCTGCTTTATGGCTCGGAACGCGGCTGTCGCTTCCAATCCTCTCCCGGCCCATTATCTCCCTTTGATGCTTTTGAAGAGCCAGCGAAATGTTAATTCCAGCTCGGCCCTCTCCTCTCCGGGCAAATCCAGCCTGGAAGGGGCTGGCAGGTGATGCCTCAGTTTTGGTTTTTATGTTTTTCAGATTCTGTGCTGCTTTAGTGTGTGGGTCTGGGCTCCATATTATGGGATGGTGAGCTCTGTGCGCAGAGCAGGGAGACAAAACGATTCCTGCTCTAGCTGGGCACCAAGGACAAATGATCCAAATCTCACCCCAGGAGCACAAACAGCGTGGGCTGGAGAGAGAAAAACAAGGGTGGGACTGCAGGGGCTGAGCTGGAATGGGACAATGAACTGCAACCTGCACATGGAGCAGAGCTGATCCCAGGGAGAGACCCCGTGAGCGCTCGTGCATTTTGGGACCATTTGGGTTCATCTTGGGTTCATTCTGGGACCATTTTGGTTCATTTTGGGACCATTTTGGTTCACCTGGGCTGCAGCCCTGGCTGGGCTCTTGTGCTGCCCAAGGTGGATCCACTGAGGAGATCCTTTTAACAAATCCCTGTTTTTTCTGTAACTCTGCCTGGCTTCTGCTCCAGCTCAGCCTTCCCAAGGCATCACAGGGACCTGGACACTGCCCTGGGGTTCTGTCCCCGGGTTTGGGGGGCTGGGGGTGAGGCCTTCTCAAGCCTCAGCCCCCCAGCCAGGGCTGCACCCCAGGTGAACCAAAACGGTCACAAAGTGAACCCAAAATGAACCAAAATGGTCACAAAATGAACCCAAAATGAACCAAAATGGTCACAAAATGTTGACCGCTCTCAGGGTCTCTCACTTTGATAAGTTCTGCTCCATTTGCATATTGGAATTAATTGTCCAATTACAGTTTAGGTTATGCAGTCCCATCCTTCTTGATTTTTTCTCTTTGTTGTTTGTGCTCTTGGGGTGAGATTTGGATCATTTGTCCTTGGTCCCCAGCTGGAGCAGGAATCGTTTTGTCTCCCTGCTCCGTGCACCATCCCATAAGACGGAGCTCCGAACTCTCCTAAAGCAGCACAAAACCACAAAAAATATAAAAACTAAAACCTGGGGCCCGCGGCTGTGCCTGACCCAGCCCCGGGGCTGCGCCCTCTGTGATTTTGGGGACATTTGGGGGGTGGCAGCAGCGCCAGCGGGGACAGATGGAGCCACCGAGTGCCACGGGGCGCTGGGCACGGCCTGCCTGGCATCGGCCACCGGCGCCAGATTGTCAGCCCTGGCTGGTCCTGGCGCCCGGCAGGGGACGGGCAGCGTGTCCCTGTCCCCTGGGCGGTGCCACATCCCCAGGGCTGCCAGGGCAAGGTTGTGTTGTAGATAAGAAACACAAGGAGTGAAATAGAATAAAATGATTTGGCTTTTCGCAAATATGAAGATATTTTAAGATGTTGAAAATAGTTTCTAAACATTTTTAAGTGTTTTAAAGTATTGAAAATATGGAAACATTTTAAATTATTAAAATATTAAAAATATTTAAATATTTTTAAATATAAAATATAATATATAAATATATATTATAAATCTGTATAATTAAGTATCCATATTATTTTATACATAAAATATATATAATAAATATTTAATATAATAAATGTGCAACAAGCTAATACAATAGAAATAAATATATAAAAAGTTATTTTTAAAAATATAAATATATAAAAAAATGTTTCCAAAATAGTAAATGTGCTCTTGACTGAATGCCAATATTTGCTTTATTGTTTTTATTTCTCATTGTCCTTTATCAAACTTTTAAATTTTTACAAGAGGGTTAGATAAATGGGGTCAAAACCTTGTTTTTGCCAGCTGGATCCTCTGAGCTGGGCTGGGGACGGGTGCTGTGCCACCCTGTGCCCACCCCAAACGGTGCCAGAACATTCTGGATTTGGCTGTGCTTTATGGGCTCGGTGAGGAGCTTGTCCAGTCATCCCGAAATAATAAATAAAATCCACACTGTCATCCCGAAATAATAAATGAAATCCACGGCCGGCGCTGGCAGCAGATAGGATCAGCAGCGTCAGGAGAGGGAAAATTACTGAGGGTCCTGGAGGGAGAAATGACGAGAGGGAGGGGGAAGGGGAAAAGTTGGGGAGGGAAAAATTGGGGAAGGGAAAAGTTGGGGAAGGGAAAAGCCAGGAGACCCTGAGATCATTATCCCGCTGACTTCTCCTTCCAGCCAGGTGGATCCCACCCTTGTCCCTGGATCCCACCCCTTGTCCCTGGGTCCTGCTCCTTGTCCTTGGATCCCATTTTTGTCCCTGGATCCCATTCTTGTCCCTGGATCCCATTCCTTGTCCCTAAATCCCACTGCTTGTCCCTTGATCCCACTCCTCACCCCTGGGCCCACCTTCCCTCCTGCAGGGGGTCGGGTGGGGCTGGGAACAGCCTGGAATATCGGGATCCCCCTGGAATAAAAATTACTTCCAATCCCTTCCCAAACTCCGCCAGGCCCTGGTGGGGGCTGTGGTCCCGCTGCCCCCTCCAGGACCACCGGCTCCCATCCCATCCCATGGATCCCATCCCATCCCATCCCATGGATCCCATCCCATCCCCGGGCACGGGGAGCTCGGGAGCGCTGCCAGCTCCTGTCACCGGCGGTGCCACATCGCTGTGACAGCGGTGACACCGGCGCACGGGGAGGGGGCGGGCACAGCGGGAAAGGCTGGAAAATCCCGTGGAAAATGAACATTGTTGTGACTTCCAGCGCCAGGAGGGGCTGGGCGCACCAGTGACACCAGTAGCCATGCTGGGCTGCTGTGCCAACCCCTTTTCCCTCCTTTTTCACCCCAATTTGCCTCAATCCCCACCCCCTGCTTGCTCCCCGAAACTGCAGCGACCCTTTGGGAGGGGCAGGAACCAGAGCAGGTTTAAATCCGAGCTCAGCCATTCTCAAAGGGAAAAAAACCAAAAGTCAAACCGAGAATCTTAATGGTATTTTTCTGTTTGTGTGTGTGTGTGTGTGTTTTCTTCTGTTCTATCTCTTTGTTGTTGTTAGCAACCCAACTACTGGAGCTTTAAGGTCAGTATTTCGGATTTTTCCTGCTTTCTCTTTGAAATGCATGTGCTTGGCTGTGGCTCTGGATGGGGGTGGGAGCCCGGGGTGGGATTTTTTTGGATGAGAATTCCCGGGCTGAAGTGGTTTGGTCTCAGCTCAGCTGAAGCCGAAGGTCGTGAGAGGGAATTTTGGGGTTTGGGGCGAGCTGTGAGTTGTTCTGTGAGGCCCCACCCCACAGCCAAATCCTGCTGCTCTGGAGTTATTTCTGAGACCAGGATTCTGGGAAAGGATGGGAAAATGATGGGAAAAGGCCGGTTCTGGATGGAGTTGGAAGCTCGGAGTGGCTGCTCCCAGCAGGGGTTCAGGGCTTGCTCTGGTTTCCAGCCTCCTCCTCCTCCTCTTCCTCCTCCCCTGGAGCTGCTCCTGCCCCTTTTCCCTGCCGGGCTCTGGGATCTGCCCCCTCTCCCGTCGCTCCGTGTCCCCTTGTCCATCACCTCTTCCCTTTCCGGGCTCCTCATCCCCCTCATTCCCAAAAAATCCCCCAGAGAAGGGTCAGGAGATGAGCTGGGGGGTCTCGGGCTGTGCCAGCACCTCGCAGGACGGATGGAACGGGAGGAGGAACGGGAATTTCAGTCACGGGTTTGGTGTTGGGACGTTTTTAGAGGGAAGAAGAATGGGATTCCCAGGCTGGGATTTGGGATTCCCAAGCTGGAATTTGGTGCTGGGAGATTTTTGGACCAGAGGAAAGAGTTTTGGGATTCCCAAGCTGGGATTTGGTGCTTGGACATTTTTGGATCAGAGGAGTTTGGCGTTGGGAGAATTTTAGACCAGAGGAAGGAGTTTTGGGATTCCCAAGCTGGAATTGGGATTCCCAAGCTGGAGTTTGGTGCTGAGGCCCCTCCAGGCCAGAAAACAAAGCCGTTTGTCCATCTGGAAGCACCCGGAAATGGCTCTCACCCCTCTTCCCATCCCCAGCACTCAGAAATCCCAAAAAAACAGAGAAATCCTCAAGGCTGGCTTTGATCTTTGTCCCTACAGGGGACAGTGCCCGGAGCCTCCCGGCCGGGGCCATCCCAAAGGCTCGCGGGGTTTTTGGGACATCCAGGGCCGCATCCAAAGGGGGAAAATCCCGCGGGGAAGTTCAGCGGAGAGGGCTGGGGGCTCCCGCCGCGCTGATGCGAGGGGTGGGATGGAATTTGGATTCCCGGGCGGAACGGGAAGATCCAAAGGCTCGGCAGAGCTCCTTTGGAGCCGGGGCTTTAAAGGAACATCAAAGGCAGCCGAGTAAAAGATCCAGAAGGGCAAAACCGGCGGGGGACACACAAAGGACGCGTTTGTGTTGAAAACAAGAGTCAGGAGCGGCTTTTCCCGCACCGGGCTCCTGCTCCGGCCTCGGGATCGCGGCTGCGGCTTCCCGGGAGCTCCGCGGCTCCTGGCGGGAGCCATTTCCACCTCGGCGGCGCTCGGCCAGCCGCAAAGAGAGGCAGGAGATGAGTGTTTACCCGCAGGAGATGAGCAAATAGCAGGCAGCGAGTCCTCGGCTGCTGTAATCCCGCCGCTCCCGCCGGCCTTGGCTCCGCCGCGCTCCGGAGGGCCGCGGGTGGGATGTTCCTGGGGGAAAGGGGGATTTGGGGCATTTGAAGAGTGGGGAGAGGCTGCTCCGACCTCCTCGCTGTGGTTTTTGGGGTCCTCGCTGGTTTTCTGGCCTCGCCGGGAGATGCTGCCCGTTGTTGTCCATCGATCCCGGGGTTGTCGATATTTATGGATGGTTTGGCTTGGAAAAGCGATTAAAGGTCTCCTGATCCCAACCCTTTGCCACTGGCGGGGGTGGCTCCCACCCCACCAGGGTGCTGGGAATGGGAGAGGCATCCTCAGCGCAGGAGCGGGGAAACTGAGGCACGGCGGGAACGGACGGGGTGGGATTTTCCAGCGGGGGTGCAGCAGCAGAGCCTGGCTGGACTCCGGGACATCCCTCGGATCCCCCGGGAACATCCCGGCCCCAGCCCGATCCCTCTGAGGGGCGGACGGGGAAGGTGTGGGGCGAGCAGCAGCGTCAATATTCATGAGGCTGCAGAGGATCCAGGCTTTTAAATATTCATCAGCACGCGGAGCTCTGCTGCCAGCAGGAAAATCGGGGAGAGGGGACGAGCAGCCCCCTTTTTCCTTCCCTTCCCTTTTCCCTTTCCCCTTTCCCCTCTTCACTTTTCCCTTTTCCCTTTCCCTTTTTCCTTTTCCTCCTCCTTTTCCATTTCCCCTTTCCCCTTTTCCCTTTCCCTTTCCCTTTCCCTTTCCCCTTTCCCCTTTTCCCTTTTCCCTTTCCCCTTTCCCTTTCCCCTTTTCCCTCTCCCTCTCCGGGGACAGAGCTTTACCTTGGGGACATCCAGGTGCTGTCACTGCAGAGTGTCGGGAGTTTCTGGGGTCGGGATCGGGGTTGGGAATGACCCATCCCAAAGCAGGGAGCCCCGCTCACCCAGGAGGGGCGGCCCCTTCCTTCAGTCAAGGGGTCCGGTTTGAAAACCCTAATCCGATTTGAACGCTAATCCTGTTAACATTGAGATCGGGATTAATTCTGCCTTAATCGGGATAATCCTGGCAAAATGTTCAGCATTAGACGCGGGATGAGTTACTGCTGCCGGCAGCGGGAAGGATTTTAATTTGGGGGCGNNNGGGAGGGGGCTGGGAGGGCGGAGTTGGAGTGGCCACAACCCTTTGGATGGGGGAGACTCCTGGAAAAACCCTTTGGGTGGTGCTCGGAGCACCCCAGACCTCTCATTTCTTCCATTTCTGCCCAAATTCCCCCCGGTTTTCCCTCCTTTTCTTCCCAGCTGGGCATCTCCCGGCTCCTCCGCCTGCAGAGGCGGGAGCTGGGATGTTGGAATTCCCTCCCGAATGGAATCCAGAGGCGCAGCGGAGGGGTTGGGTTTCACCAGCCGGGATCAGGTGTCGGAGCACAGCCGGGAATGTCGGCTCTGGGATGCCGCTGGAACCGGGGGAGGACAGCCGGGCTCGGGATGCTGAATTCCCCCTGGGAAGGTTGGGTTCGAGTCGGGGATGTTCTGTTCGAATTGGGAATTATAGTTTCTCATCAGGGATGCTGGTTTTTGGTCACGGATGCTCTATTCCAGCTGGGAATGCTGGTTTTTGGTCAGGGATGCCATGTCTGTTTGAGGACGCTGCATCCCCGTTGGGAAAGCCGGGTTCTGGTCACGGATGTTCTATTCCAGTTGGGAATTCTTGTCAGGGATGCTGGGTCAGGAATGTTCTGAAATTTGGAATTCTGAAAATTCCAGTTGGGAATGCTGGGTTCTGGTCTGGGATATTCGATTCCAGTTGGGTATGGCCACCCCACGGATCCCATCCCATGGTTCCCATCCCATCCCATGGTTCCCATCCCATGGATCCCATCCCATCCCACTGATCCCACCCCTCCCCTCGGATCCCACCCCAGGGCTCAGCACCAGATGGGATCTGGGCGGGATCCCGGGATTAAGCGACGAGAGGGGGATGAGCCGGGATTAATCCCGATCCGTGTCCAACCGGGGGCCGGAGCCTCGGTAAATAACCGCGCCCGGGGCCGGCCGTGCCAGCCGTGCCAGCTGTTTTCCAGGGATTTCAGGGCTCCCTGCGTTTATCCCCATCCTGTGGAGGAGCTGCAGACGGGCAGGAGAGAGCAGGGAGCTGCCAGGACCTGCCAGGAGCTGCCAGGACCTGCCAGGCCCCGCCAGGGCCATGCCCGGCCTCGCTCCGGAGCACCCTCGGTGCCCATGGGGGGCGATTCTGGGAGGTCTGGGGGCTCCTGGAGGGCGCGGCCCCCACCCCAGAGCCGCCCAGCCCAGCCCGGGAGGCTCCTCCCGGTGACGGGAGGGGAGGGCAGGCTCAGCTCGGGGACAGGCGCCGCTGGTGGCATCGGGACAGCGAGGGATTGTCCATCCCAGGTCTGTTCTGGGGCTGGTCTCGGCGGTTTTGGGGTGCGAGGGGGTGCGGGGCTCGGGATGGGGCGGGAATCGGAGCTCTGAGTGTCCCCGAGGGGTTGGCAGAAGGGGACGGAGCCGCTTCTCCTCCTGCTGTCCCTGTCACCAGTCACGACCTGGAAGCCCCTCGGGTGTGGGATGGAAGCAGGGGCCGGGCAGGACCCGTTTTCCCCCGGGATGGCTCCAGCACATCCCTGGGAGCCCGTGGGGCTGGGACAACCCCGGTGTCCCCGCCCCGCAGTCCCCAGCAGGGTCGCAGGGTGGAAATGTGCAGCTGTGGGGTCGCTCCGGGTGCTTTGGAGCAGCCGCTCCATCCCGGGGCAGGATTCCTTCCCCACGCATTTTTCCCTTGTTTTTTTTCCCCTCCTATCTGCTTTGAGGTGACCTGCGGGAGGTCCAGGGCTGCTCCTGTCACCTCTGTCCCTCTCCTGACCCCTCTCCCTCTCCCCATCCAAGCAGCTCCACCGCTTTTCCCCATTCCGAGGCGTGACCCCGCTCCTTTCACGGCTTCCCAAAAATCCGCCGGGTCCTCTGATCCTTCCCTGCTCCTCTCCGAGCATTCCGCCCTCGCAGCTGGGCCGGGGAATTTGGGAGAGGATGAGGATGAGGAGGGGCAGGAATGAGGAGCATCCTTATCTCCAGGCAGAGATAATGGAGCTGCTTCCGCAGGGATGCTCGGGGCTTTTTAGGAGCTCAAAGAATCCCTTAATTGTGGCTTTTTTTAGCTCTGGGGAGACAAAAGAAAAAAAAAAATAGATATTAAAAAAAGCCCTCCATTCCCCATCCCACCGTTTTTATATAAAACTCCCGGGCACGGGGGAGGGGATGGGGACGTTCCTGGCCCTGCTGGAATTGGGGATTTTCCCAATTCCTCCCCCAGAGGGGCTGGGGGTGCTCCTGGCCCTGCTGGAATTGGGGATTTTCCCCCCCCTGTCTCCCCCAGAAGGGTTTTTTGGGACCGGGTTTTCCCGGGACCATCCCCACGAGGGCACTGCCAGGGGTCCAGGCGGGATTCCCGCGGCTCCCGAGGTTCCCGGGGGGGGGTTCATCCCAGCAGGTTTAATCCCGGGGGGGGGCTGGGGGCATCCCGAGCCTGGTGCCCTTTGCCCAGCCCCCTCTGCCCCGAAATTCCACATTTTTCCTGGCGCAGCCTCCCCGCGGCCTTGAGCGGCTTTTGTTGTGGCTGCGTTCCCTCACTCCCTTCCCGAGCGCTCCCCGCTGGAATTCCCACGCTGGCCGGCAGGGAATTCCAGGGTCCAGCTCCAGGATTGCCGCTCTGGGGCTGGCTCGGCAGGAAATGGGTCATTGCCCAGCTGGGGACAGCAGCCGGGGGGCGGTGTCCCCCCTCCCTCCCCCGCTTCCCTGCCACCCCCCGGGTGGGCTCAGATCCCACAGGGAATTGCCCTGTGCCCGTCTGGGGGGGGTCCTGTGCCCATCTGGGGGGTCCCGTGCCTATCTGGGGGGCTCTGTGTCCATCTGGCGGGTTCTGTGCCCATCTGGGGGGTCCCGTGCCCATCTGGGGGGTCCCGTGCCCATCTGGGGGATCCTGTGCCCATCTGGGGGGTCCCGTGCCCATTTGGGATGGTTCTGTGCCCATCTGGGGGATCCCGTGCCCATTTGGGGGGCTCTGTGCCCATCTGGGGGGTCCTGTGCCCACGGGGCTGCCCTGAGTTTAGGGAGGGGGCCGGGGTGGCTGTGCCCCGGTGCTGTGGCAGGTCTGGGGGCTGTGCAGAGCGCCAGGGCAGATCTGTCCCCTCGGGGCTCAGAAGCCATTAACTCCCGTCTGGCCCGGCTTTCCTTGGGGTTTTGTGGTTGGACTGATTCCATAAATTATCCACAGCGGGGGGGCTCCGGGGGCAGCTGCGGGGCCGGGGGGGGCTGGGCTCACCCGGGGCAGGGAAGTGTCCTTGTCACCCCCGGGGGGGTGGGGAGGGGAAGGGATGGATGCAGGGATGGATGCAGGGATGGATGCAGGGATGGATTTAGGGCAGGGTGAGATTCCAGAGAATGGGAACAGGGCAGGGACAGGGGGTGTTGGGGTCACCTGGGGCAGGGAAGTGTCCCTGTCACCCCCAGGGGGTGGGGATTGGTTGGGATTTATGGAGTGGGGAGGGGAAGGGATGGATGCAGGGATGGATGCAGGGATGGATGCAGGGATGCAGGGATGGATGGATGGATGGATGGATGGATGGATGGATGGATGGATGGATGGATGGATGGAGGAATGGATGCAGGGATGGATGCAGGGATGCAGGGATGGATGGATGGATGCAGGGATGAATTTGGGGATGGGTGCAGGGATGGATTTGGGGCAGGATGAGATCCCAGAGAACAGGAACAGGGCAGGGAAGGATCCAGGAAGGCAGAGCAGGGCCGAGCCGCAGCCCTGGCTCACTCCCCCAGCAGGAGCTGCCGGCCCCACCCCTGTGCTTCCCTAAGGATCCATCCCGGGCTGGGATCCGCGGCAGCACCGCCCCAAACCCAGAGCAGGGCCCCAGAAACCACAGCCTGGAGGGTGGGGAGCCCCAAAATCGCCCTTCCCCACCCCAAAGCCACCCCCACGAGGGGCCAGAGCTGCGGTCCAGGGTTGGGAGCAGGGAATGTTTCGCTCCATCCCTGCATCCCTTGCTGGATGTGAGGCTCTGCCAGGGCTCTTTGTGCTCCAACAACAACAACCCAGCCCAGCAGTCAATTTTCCAGCAATTAGCTACGGGCGAGAACATTTCAAGTCCTCCCAAACCCCGCCTCGCAGGATTAATTAAATCTTCCAATTAATGTCTCATTTAAATGGCGATGATGGCTGTTATCATTTCATATTGATTTCTTTCTTTTTTTTCCTTTTTCCCCCCTGTCTTAAAATAGAGCTGTTGTCCCTTTCCAGCGCCGCCTTTTCCACACCCAGGGAGCTGTCTGTTCCCTCTGCTGGCTTTGCCAACCTTCAACAAGTGCCTGGAAAATCCAGGCTTGGATTTTTGGGGCTATTAACAGGCAGCAGTGCTGGGGACGGCCACTAATTTGGGGATAGTTGTGGATATTTGTGGATATTAGTGGATATTAGTGGATATTTGGGGATATTTGGGGATAGTTGTGGATAGTTGTGGATATTTGGGGATATTTGGGGATAGTTGTGGATATTTGTGGATATTTGTGGATATTTGGGATATTGGAAAATCCACATTTTCCACGTCTGTGGTGCAAATTTCCTGGCAGCACGCTCCTGTGAAATGGGGATCCTGGAAAATGAAATCCTCCCGGCTCCCAGAGCCACAAACCTTCCCGGTGCTCTGCTCCCAGAAGGATCCGGGCCTTTAGGATTCCTGGGAGTGGAGTAATGGATGTGTAACCTCCGGGAGCAGCCAAGGTTGTTCCGGCTCCGGCAGCCTCGGTCCTTCCTGCAGCGTTAAATTCCAGGGGTTTGCCGGTGTGGGGGCCCAGAGGCACCGGGAGGGAGCTGGGAAGGTTTATCCTGGAGAGGGGTGGGATTGGGATTGGGGTCTGTGCCGGGAGCAGGAGGTGGAGCTGGCACGGGGTGGGGGTGAAACAGCCCAGAGCCTGAGCTGGGGAGGGAATGTGGGATGGAGCATCCCTGGATGAGGATGGAGAATCCCTGGATGAGAATGGGGCATCCCTGGATGAGGATGGAGAATCCCTGGATGAGGGATGGAGCTCCCTGGATTTTGGGGTGCAGCTCCCTGGATCTGGGGTGCAGCCCCCCTGGATCTGGGATGGAGCTCCCTGGATTTGGGATGGAGCTCCCTGGATTTGGGATGGAGCTCCCTGGATTTTGGGATGGAGCTCCGAGGATTTGGGATGGAGCTCCCTGGATTTTGGGGTGCAGCCCCCCGAATGCGGCCCAGCCGCACCCTCAGGCACAGGCAGGGATTTCTGGGGGCGTCCCAGGGGTTGCACTTGCCGGCCTTCGTGTCTCCCTCCCATCCCAGGACATTCCACCATCCCACACCAGCCCCTCCATCCCGGCACGGCATTCCCAAGGAAAAGCGGCACCAGCCTCACCAGGGGGTCCGGGCCGCCCATCCCTGTCCCCCTGACCTGTCCCTGTCCCCACTCCCGTTGCAGACCAGGAGCTCCCGGCACTCCCAGGGCTCCCAGCCTGGCCTGGCCGACCAAGCCAAGCTCTCCTTCGCCTCGGCCGAATCCCTGGAGACCATGTCGGAGGCGGAGCTGCCGCTGGCCTTCAACAGGATGAACCGGTTCCGCCAGAGCCTGCCCCTGTCCCGCTCGGCCAGCCAGACCAAGCTGCGCTCCCCAGGTACCCCGGGAGGCCCCAAAACCTCCGAGGTGGAGCGTGGGGCTGGTCTCCATCCATCCACCCAAAATTCCAGACCAAGCTGCGCTCCCCAGGTACCCCGGGAGGCCCCAAAACCTCCGAGGTGGAGCGTGGGGCTGGTCTCCATCCACCCAAAATTCCAGACCCAACCACACTCTCGCCAGCTGGGTGGAGAGAGATCTGCCAGCCCCTTTTTGTGGGTGCTCCCAAGCCTCCCACCTTCAGCAGGGTGAGGTTGCTTGGCCTCCCCATCCCGTTTTTTTGGATGCCCCAGAGCTCTCTAGGAACACCTCCCCTCACCAGGGCGAGGCTGGGTGGGAAGACATCCCGCAACCCCTTTTTTTTGGGAGCCCCAAAACCTTCCACCTTCACCAGGGCAAGGTTGCATGGCCAGATCTCCCCATCCCCGTTTTTTGGGTGCCTCAGAGCCTTCCACCTTCACCAGGGCAAGGTTCGGTGGCCAGGGCACCCCCACCCCCTTTTTTTGGGTGCCCCAGAGCCCTCTAGGAAAACCTCCCTGCACATGGGCGAAGTTGGGTGACCGGAGCTCCCCAATCCCTTTTCTTGGTTGCCCCAGAGCCTTCCACCTTCACCAGGGTGAGATTGGGTGGCCAGAGCTCCCCAATCCCTTTTCTTGGTTGCCCCAGAGCCTTCCACCTTCACCAGGGCATTGTTGGGTGGCCAGAGCTCCCCCATCCCCTTTTTTTTGGCTGGGAAGACCCTGTCACCCCCGCGGAGAAGGGGCAGGGTCAGAGCTGACTGCCGCGTGCCCCCTGTGCTCCCAGGGGTGCTGTTCCTGCAGTTTGGGGACGAGACGCGGCGGGTGCACATCACGCACGAGATCAGCAGCATGGACACCCTGCACGCCCTCATCGTGCACATGTTCCCGCAGAAGCTCACCATGGGCATGCTCAAGTCCCCCAACACCGCCATCCTCATCAAGGACGAGTCCCGAAACGTCTTCTACGAGCTGGAGGATGTCCGGTGAGCAGGGAGGGAGCAAATCCCACCCCGGGCTGGTTTCCCGTCCCTTAAATCCACCACAAGCTGGGAAATCTGCGGGATTGTCTTGGTTTGAAAAGTCAGGTGTCCACTAGGGAAGGCAGGAGTTTCCCTTGAATGGAAAATGTAAAACCCCTCCCTCCAAATTGTTATAATTTTAAAATTTAAATGTTCTCAGGCAAAGATATGGGAATAGGAATAACAGCTCTTTATTAGGAAAATTAAAAATTTGGGTGGGGGTGAAACAGCCCAGAGCCTGAGCTGGGGAGGGAATGTGGGATGGAGCATCCCTGGATGAGGATGGAGAATCCCTGGATGAGAATGGGGCATCCCTGGATGAGGATGGAGAATCCCTGGATGAGGATGGGGCATCCCTGGCTTTGGGATGGAGCTGCCTGGATTTGGGGTGGAGCTCCCGGGATTTGGGATGGAGCGAGAGATCTCCTGGAGGGAGGATTGGCTGTGGAAAAGATAAAGAAAGCTGCCCAGTGAACAGAAGATAATTGCCTCACCTCTAACAGAAAACACTCCTATCTTACAACCCAGGACAGGGACGAAGGACAAAAGGGGGTGGTGGGTGCAGCACTGGGGTTTTGGGGCTCTGTCCCAGGTGTTCAGGCTCTGCCTCTGCTTCCAGAGACATCCAGGACAGAAGCATCATTAAAATCTACCGGAAAGAGCCGCTCTATGCCTCGTTCCCAGCCTCACACATCACCAACGGCGACCTGAGGGTGAGAGGGGACACGGGGACAGCCCGGGGGGGTGGCAGGGCCAGGTGGAGTGGGAGCAGCAGAGATTGGGAATTGGGAATTGTGTGTGGTTGGGATTCATCCTGCCGGCTGCCAGCGCTGGCTGGGGGCTGACAGCGGGGTTGTAAATATGGTATTTAGGGAATTAAATAATCAGGATAAATCATCAGGATAAATCATCAGGATAAATCAGCCCGCTGCTGGCTGGGAATCACAGAATTACAGAATCCCTGGGTTGGAAGAGTCCTCCAAGATCATGGAGTCCAACCCAGCCCCAACAGCTCAATAATTCCTGGCACCCAGTGCCAATCCAGGCTTTGTTAAACACACCCCGGGATGGGGACTGCACCCTCCCCAGGCAGCCATTCCAGAACTTTATCACCTCTCTGTGAAAAACTTCTTCCTAATATCCAACCTATATTTCCCTTGGTGCAGCTGGAGGCTGAGTGCTCTGGCTCTGTCAGTCCCTGGAGACAGAGCCCAGCCCCAGGTGAGCACAGGCACCTTTCAGAGCTGTGCAGAGCGATGAGGGCACCCCTGAGTCTCCTTTTCTCCAGGCTGAGCACCCCCAGCTCCCTCAGGGGTTCCTCACAGGGTTTGTGTTCCAAGGGAAGGCTTTGCCAAGGCTTTGCCAGAGCTGCCGGTCCTTGGTGGGGCGAAGGGCCCAGCAGGGCAGGGCTCACTCCGTGCTGACCCCTCTGCCCCATTCCACAGCGGGACATGGTCTACACCTCCCGGGAATCCTCTCCCACCCGCCGGCTCAACAACATCTCCCCAGCCTCCCACCTGGCCTCCGGCTCGCCGCCGCCCGTGCTGCAGTCCTCGTCGCCGTCGCGCTCCCGCATGTCCTACAGCGGCGGCCGCCCGCCCTCGTACGCCGGCAGCCCCGTCCACCACGGCGAGCGCCTGTCCAGCCTGCCCCCCGCCCAGGGCGTGTCCCCCAGCCCCAGCGCCATCCTGGAGCGCCGCGACGTCAAACCGGACGAGGACCTGGCGGGCAAGAACGTGGTGCTGGTGAAGAACGAGGGGCTCTACGCCGATCCCTACGGGATGGTGCACGAGGGCCGGCTCAGCATCACCTCCACGCAGTCGCTGGCGGGCATGGGGGACCCCTTTGGCTACTCGGGGGGGCTCTACAAGCGGGGCTCAGTGCGGTCACTCAGCACCTACTCGGCGGCCGCGCTGCAGACGGAGCTGGAGGACAGTTTGTACAAGCCCAACGCGCCCATCTACAGCGACACCTACGGCCCCGGGCTGGGCTTCCGCATGCCGCCCTCATCCCCGCAGAAGATGGTGGAGCCCGGGCAGAGCCCGCACAGCCCCTACTCAGGCCCGCCTAGCCGCTCCTCGCCTGTCCGTCAGTCCTTCCGCAAGGATTCCTGCTCCTCCGTCTTCATGGACAGCCCCGTGGGCAAAACGCGCAACCCCAGCTCGTCCGGGCCCCCCGAGCTGTTCCCCGGCCCCGGGGAGCGGCCGCTCTCGGGCTTCGGATCGCCCGGACCGGCCAAGGACACCGAGACCAGGTGAGAGGAGGGGTGGTGTGCTTGCACCTGTGTGCTCCAGGCTGTGTTTGCACCTGGGATGCTCCAGGATCTCCTGGATTTGGGTATTGGCACCCGGGATGCTCCAGGTTGTGATTGTACCTGGGATATTCCAGGTTGTCCTGGGTTTGTGTTTGTACCTGGGATATTCCAGGTTGTCCTGGGTTTGTGTTTGTACCTGGGATATTCCAGGTTGTCCTGGGTTTGTGTTTGTACCTGGGATATTCCAGGTTGTCCTGGGTTTGTGTTTGCACCTGGGATGCTCCGGGATTTCCGCTGAGTTTGGGTTTGAGTGTTTGCACCTGGGATCCCCGGTGGGTTTGAGCTTTGCTGCGCAGGGGTTTTGTATCGGCTGGAGGGGCAGGAGGAGCAGATGGGGGGGAGGAGGAGGAGGAGCAGAGGAAGGCAGCAGGGCCGGGCTGTGAGCAGGGCCGGGAGCAGCCGGGGGTGGCCGTGGTGGCAGACGCAGCCGGTGACCCGTCCCCGTCCCTTTCCCGGTGCAGGGAGCGGATGGAGGCCATGGAGAAGCAGATCGCCAGCCTGACGGGGCTGGTGCAGAGCGCGCTGCTCCGCGGCTCCGAGGCCGAGACCCCCAGGTGAGGGCAGCTGTGGCACCCCGGGGGCCGGGATGTCCCTCCTGGGGGGTTTGTCCCCTCCCAGGGGACACCAACCCCGCCCACGCTCAGCCCCCTCCTCTCTTTGGTTTCAGCGAGAAGACAGAAGCCACCAACGGCGGGACCCCCCCGTCAGCGTGTGAGTGACCCCCGTGTGCCCCGTGGGTGTCCCAGGGTGGGCTCTGCAGCCCCCCCAGGTGCTGGTGATGCCTTTTTTGGGCTTACCTAAAACCATAATTAAGAGAATAAGAGTGGATCTATTTAATGAGGGGCCTCCAGGTACGTTAAGGGCAGACAAAGCCTCCCCAGGGGGCTACACCCAAAATGGATGATGGCCACGAGTTTTTAAGGCAATTATAAGTTTGGCCCATTTATGTATCAATTAATTGATATTAATTGATGTAATTTGGGTTAATCCTCCAATTACAGCTTCAGGTAATGAAGTAATTTACTCCCAGTTTGTTTCCCCCCCAGTTCACTTTTTAAAATATTTTTGGGGGCCTGAGGCAGTGAGGTGTCCTTGAGTCACAGGCCTGGAGAGGAATTGTTTTGTCTGAATAAAACAGGAGAGCAGCAGCTGACAGGCCGTGGAGTTTCAGAGTTATTCCCTAAAGCACTACAGGATTTGAAAAATTTAAAAGCCAAAATCATGAGGCACCACTGGCAACCAGCGGGGACCCCCCGATGCTGCTCTGGGGTGGCCTCAGGGTGGGCTTAGCATGGACGGGGGAACTTTGGAGACCACCAGAGCCAAAGGACTGGGTGGGGAAAGAAAAGAAATAGGCACCAAAACCCCTCAGCAGCCTCTGCTTGCCCCCCCAGCCACCAGCCGCAGTGGCATGGGCACCCCGGTGCCCGCGCCGCCACCGCCCTCAGCCACCAGCACCCCGGCGGGGCAGCCCACGGCCATCACCCGCCTGCACATGCAGCTGCACCTGCACGACCTGCAGCAGAACGCCAGCGACCTCCGCAACCAGCTGCAGCAGCTCAAGAAGCTGCAGGTGGGTGCCGGGGGCAGGGGGACCCCGAAATTGAGCCAGCTCTTACTGGGTTGGGATGGGAAAATCCTTTTTGTGCACTGGGGCTGGTGTGGGAGAGCTCAGGGATCCGTCCTGGAGATGAGCTTGGGGATCCTCGCCGAATCCAAACTCGGGGATCCTTCCCCATGTCCAGCTCAGGGATCCTTCACCACTGTGGGCTCAGAGATTTTTCCCAAAGCTCAGGGATCCTTCCCAAATCTGACCCCAGAGATCTGTCCCCACACCCAGTTCAAGGATCCCTCCCCACTTCAACCCCAGGGATCCTTCCCAAATCCAACTCCAGTGATTTTTTCCAAATCAAACCCCAGGGATCCCTCCAAGCCCAGCTCAGGGATCTTTCCCAAATCCAGGCCCAGGGATCCCTCTCTGTGCCCAGCTCAGGGATCTTTCCCAAATCCAACCCCAGGGATCTTTCCCAAATCCAGGCCCAGAGGGATCCCTCCCTGCCCAGCTCAGGGCTGCTCCCTCCAGGGGTCTCTCCCAGCCTGACCCCCCTCCTCTCCTCCTCCTCCTCCTCCCCGCAGCTGCAGAACCAGGAGGCGGTGAAGTCGCTGCTGCGGCGCACGGAGACGGAGCTGAGCGTGCGGGTGACGGACACGATGCGCAAGCACGAGGACCCGCTGCAGCGCCAGCGCAGCTTGGTGGAGGAGGAGCGGCTGCGCTACCTCAACGAGGAGGAGCTCATCAGCCAGCAGCTCAAGTGAGCCCGGCGGGGGCCCCGGAGACACCGGGGGACAGCTCGGCACTGCCCGGGGGGGGGGGGCCACGAGACAGTCCCCCCGGGGGACAGAGAGCAGTTCTGCACTGCCCAGGGGGACAGAGAGAAGCTCGGCACCGCCCAGGGGACAGAGAGCAGTTCTGCCGCCCAGGGGGGACAGAGAGCAGCTCGGCACTGCCCAGGGGGACAGAGAGAAGCTCGGCACCGCCCAGGGGGACAGAGAGCAGTTCTGCACTGTCCAGGGGGACAGAGAGCAGCTCGGCACTGCCCAGGGCGTGGGCCCGAGTTGGGGTGCCCACGCAGTGACCATGTTCCCAAATGAGGGGGTCTCCACACAGTGACCGTGTCCCCAAATCAGGGTCCCCACACAGTGACCATGTGCCCAGATCAGGGCCCCCACGCAGTGACCACGTCCCTACATGAGGAGGGGTCCCCATCCCAGCACGAGGAGGGGTCTCAGCCCAGTGACCACATCCCTGAGTGAGGAGGGGTCCTCGGCCCGGTGTCACCCTCGGGGCTCTCCACCCTCCTGACTCAGCAGTGACCCCCCAGTGACCCCCCAGTGACCCCCTGCCCTCCCCCTGCCCTCCCAGCGACCTGGAGAAGTCCGTGGAGAAGATCCAGAAGGATCTGGCCCACAACCACCGGCTGATCCCGGCGCAGGAGCTGGAGGAAAAGGCCGTGGTGCTCAAGCAGCTGGGGGAGACCCTGACGGACCTGAAGGGTGAGGAGGGGCCGGGGGGGCAAACGGAACCTTCCGGAGCTTCCCTGCTCCATCCGTGCTCCATCCCTGCCTGGGGATGCTCCAGGATCTCCTGGATTGGTGTGTGCACCTGGGATGCTCCAGGATTCTCCTGGATTTGTGTTTTCCCTGGGATGCTCCAGGATCTCCTGGATTTGTGTGTTCCCCTGGGATTCTCCAGGATATCCTGGATTTGTGTTTTCCCCTGGGATTCTCCAGGATCTCCTGGATTTGTGTTTTCCCCTGGGATGCTCCAGGATCTCCTGGATTTGTGTTTTCCCCTGGGATTCTCCAGGATTTCCCGGATTTGTGTGGATTTGTGTTTTCCCCTGGGATTCCCCAGGATCTCCGGGATTTTTGTTTTCCCCTGGCATTCTCCAGGATCTCCCTGTGGGTTTGCCCCTGCCAGGGTGGTGCCCTGCCCTCCCAGGCGCCCCTCAGCGCCATGCCCGGTGCCACAGTTGTGGAGGGGACAGCTCCACGCTGCCCTCGGGGGCTGGGCCCCCAATTAGGGTTAATTGGGCAATTAGGGCAGGACGGGCGCGGCGCGGGGTCCCGGCAGTGCCAGCCCGGGGGCAGGGGCGCGGCGGTGACAGCGGTGTCCCCCGGCAGCCCAGTTCCCCAGCCTGCAGAGCAAGATGCGGGTGGTGCTGCGGGTGGAGGTGGAGGCCGTCAAGTTCCTCAAGGAGGAGCCCAACCGCCTGGACGGGCTCCTCAAGCGCTGCAAGAGCGTCACCGACACGCTGGCCCAGATCCGCAGGTGAGCCCCGACTTTGTCCCCTCTGTGCCGCCTCCTCTCTGCGCATCCCGAGCTCTCAGGGCGGGAGGGGATCCCAGGGGTGTGCATAAAATGATCATTTTCTGCTGAAGGACCCCAAAAACACCCTCAGTCCTTTCCAGGGACTCCCTCTTTTCATAAAAGCCTAATTTTTCTGCTAAAGAACCCCAAAAACACCCTCATGGCCCTCTCCAGGAGTGGGTGGGAACCCTTTTTGGTGAAAGCCTCGTTTTTCTGCTGAAGGACCCCAAAAACACTCTCAGTCCTTTCCAGGCTTGTGTGGGACCCTCTCTTTTGATAAAAGCCTCATTTTTCCTAGGGAATAAAGCAGGATTTGACATCAGGATGGGCACACAGCCCTTGGCGTGAGCAGAAAGCTCTTTCCCAAGGAGAGGGAGCTGTTCTGTGGTGGAAAAATCCTCTCCCAGAGGAAAGTCCTCTCCTGGAGCTGGGCGGATTTCGCTGCCCGATCCCATTAGGATCCCATTAGGATCCCATTAGCGACATTCCAGCCCGGCTGCCCTCTGGGATGGCCCCGGGCTCTGCTCTAGCCCGGTTTTCCAGAGAACCAAGCCTGTAGGATCCTGCAGCGCCCTCATCCCGAATAAATCCTCAATCCCAAGGGCGGATCCGCCCAGATCTGGAGCAGGGGAAGGTTTAGGGGGATCCCATTTCCTGCCGGGCTCGAGAGGGTGGACAGTCCCCCCAAAAACAGCACCAAGCCCAACGCAGGGCACCTCAGCCTTCAGGAAATCAGGATTTTGTGCTCCCCCCCGCGCCCCACGGCCCCTGAGTGCCCCCGCTCTGCCCTAGACAAGTGGACGAGGGCGTGTGGAGCTCGCCCAGCAGCCTGAGCCAGTCGCCCAAGAAGGTGGCCCCGGAGACGGATTTCGGCAAGGGGCTGGAGCTGGAGATGCCCACCAGCCCTCCCGTGAGCCTGCACCACCTGACGGGCACCCCCGAGCCCCTGGGCTTCGCCCCCCAGCCCCAGAGCCACCCCGGCAAGAGCAATAACCCCTCGCGAGCCCCGGAGATGGTGCCCGCCAAGACGCAGACGGGGCCCGAGACCCCCAGCAAGAAGAGCGTGGACAAAGCCGTGTCCGTGGAGGTGAGAGCCCGGCCGGGGGGGCTCAGCTCGGGGGGGGCGCCTCCGGAGGGTCTGGGAAGGTGAAAATGGGAAGGGGAGCGGTGCCTGCCCTGCTGCTCCTCGGTGGAGCTTCTGCTGCAGGGGTGGGGTGGGGTGAGAGCTGGGGGTGCTCACCTGGACAAAAGGAGACTCGGGGGGGCCCTCATCGCTCTGCACAGCTCCTGGAAGGTGCCTGTGCTCACCTGGGGCTGGGCTCTGTCTGCAGGCAGCACTGACAGAACCAGAGCACACAGCCTCCAGCTGTGCCTAGGGAAATTTAGGTTGGATATCAGGAAAAAGTTTTTACAGCACGGGTGATAAAGTTCTGGAATGGCTGCCTGGGGAAGGGTGCAGCCCCCATCCCGGGGTGTGTTTAACAAAGCCTGGATTGGCACTGGGTGCCAGGGTTAGTTGAGGTGCTGGGGCTGGGTTGGGCTTCATGATCTTGGGGATCTCTTCCAACCTGGGAATTCTCTTCTGTTCTTTGTGCTCACACCATTCCCACAAGGTCATTTCCTCTGGAGTGACCACCAGGAGAAGAGGACACAGCCTCCAGCTGTGCCGGGGGCAGTTTAGGCTGGGCATCAGGAAAGAATCCTTCACAGAAAGAGGGACTGGTGGGCACAGCCCTGGAGGTGTTTAACCAAGGCTGGATGTGGCTCTGGGTGCCAGGGTTTTATTGAGGTGCTGGGGCTGGGTTGGGCTCGATGATCTTGGAGATCTCTTCCAACCCGGAGATTCTGTGAATTCTGTGAAATTTGGGGTAAAAATCCACCCCCCAGCTCCTCGCAGCGGGCCTGGGGGTGCCGGGGGCTGTGGGGTCCCGTCGTGCCGGGGCTGGAGCGGGCTCTGTGTCCGCAGGCGGCCGAGCGCGACTGGGAGGAGAAGCGGGCGGCGCTCACCCAGTACAGCGCCAAGGACATCAACCGGCTCCTGGAGGAGACCCAGGCCGAGCTCATGAAGGCCATCCCCGACCTGGAATTCGCCGCCAAGCACAAACAAACCCCGGGCAGCGGCAGCGCCGCCTCCACGCCCGAGCACAAACCCTCCAAGGCACAGCACACCCCCAAATCGGGGGGCAAAGGGGACCCCAACGGCCGCCGGGGCTCAGGTACGGGTGGGGAGGGTCGGGGTCGCCTCCAGAGGCGAAACTGGGGGTGCGAGGTGCTGTCCCCGAGGCGGGGGGCTGGGTGAGAGGGGCAGGGCCAGGCGCGGTGCCCTCAGAGCCCCCTTTGTGCCCAGACGAGCTGACGGTGCCGCGGTACCGCACCGAGAAACCCTCCAAGTCGCCGCCGCCTCCCCCGCCCCGCCGCAGCTTCCCCTCGTCGCACGGGCTGACCACGACCCGCAGCGGCGAGGTCATTGTCACCAGCAAGAAGGAGCCCGGCTTTATCAAGGTGAGGATGGCCGCTGGGCTGGCATGGGCAGCGCGACCCCTCCCGCTGTCCCCCGGCCCCCCCGGTGCCCCCTCCCCGGTGTCTCCCGGTGCCCCCGGCCCTCACGGCCCGCTCCCCCCGGCAGAAGGCGGAGTCGGAGGAGCTGGAGACGCCGAAGCCGCAGGTGAAGCTGAGGCGGGCGGTGTCCGAGGTGGTCCGGCCCGCCTCCACCCCTCCCATCATCGCCTCGGCCGTCAAGGACGACGACGACGAGGACCGGATCATCGCCGAGCTGGAGGTGAGCGCGGGAGGGGGCGGGACCTCGGACCCCGCCCGCAGGTGACACCACCCGTCAGGTGACACCGCCCCGCAGGTGACACCCCCCCGCAGGTGACACCGCCCCGCAGGTGACACCGCCCTTCTGCTCGGGGACAGCTCGGGGCGGGGTGTGACATCCCCGGCACTGGCACCTCCTGTGGCTGCGGGGACAGAGAGGTGGCATCACCAGGGACAAGTGCTGCACAGCTGGGTGCTGCACACCGGGGTGATGCACAGCTGGGTGATGCACACCGGGATGATGCACAGCTGGGTGATGCACAGCTGGGTGATGCACAGCTGAGTGCTGCACAGCTGGGTGATGCACAGCTGGGTGCTCCACAGCTGAGTGCTGCACAGCTGGGTGCTCCACAGCTGGGTGCTCCTTCTGCTCCTCTCCAGTGGCGATGGGGTGGTTATTTCTTGGTTGGTTTTTTCTTGGATGGTTTCCCTTAGATGGTTTTCCTTGGATGTTTTTTTCTTGGATGGTTTCCCTTGGGTGGTTTCTCCTTGGATGTTTTTTCCTTGGCTGGTTTTCCTTGGATGCTTTTCCTCCAGGAGGGAGAACTGGGCATGGTGCAGGTGTGGGACAGGTGATGACAGAGGGGACAGGTGATGCTGCAGCTGTGGGACAGGTGATGCTGCTGCAGGCAGGAGAACTGGACCAGTGGTGCTGCCAGACTGGGCCAGTGACCCTGCTGGCCAGGGGAGCAGTGACACTGCCATCTGGGGGACAGGTGACACTGCTGGTGAAGGCACAGGTGACACTGCTGGCCAGGGGAGCAGTGACACTGCTGGCCAGGGGACAGGTGACCCTGCTGGCCAGGGGAGCAGTGACACTGCTGGCTGGGGGACAGGCGACACTGCTGGCAAGGGAACAGGTGACACTGCTGGCCAGGGGACAAGTGACACTGCTGGTCAGGGGACAGGTAACACTGCCGGTGAAGGCACAGGTGACCCTGCTGGTCAGGGGACAGGTGACACTGCTGGTGAAGGCACAGGTGACCCTGCTGGCCAGGGGAACGGGTGACTCTGCTGGTCAGGGGAGCAGTGAGACTGCCGGCTGGGGGACAGGTGACACTGCCGGCTGGGGGACAGGTGACACTGCTGGCAAGGGAACAGGTGACACTGCTGGCCAGGGGAGCAGTGACACTGCTGGCTGGGGGACAGGTGACACTGCTGGCCAGGGGATGGGTGACACTGCTGGCCAGGGGAGCAGTGACACTGACAGCTGAGGACCAGTGACTCTCCTGGCTGGGAGCCCAGTGACTCTGCTGGCCAGAGCTCTGATGCCACAGCTGGCATGGGGACAGCTGACTCTGCCAGCAGCACAGGGGACAGGTGGCCCTGCCATCAGCTCGGGGGACAGTTCTGCCCCTGCCAGCCGCCACCCCCCTCTCAGGCCGTGCCCTCCGGGAGCCCGCTGCGGCCCAGGCTGCCCCTCCCTCCCTCCAACGGCCCTGTTTGACTCCCCAGGTGTTTCAGCGGAGCTCAGCCTCCCCTTTCCTCCCCGAGCCCCGCTGTGACCCCCTCGAGGCCGTGTCCCCGCGCCACTCCGAGCCGTGGCCCCACGGAGCCGCGGTGGCAGCCGAAGGATGGAAGGTAACGGCTCCACGGGGCTGCGCTCTCACCTTCCTCCTCTGCCTCCTCTCAGCTCACCTCTGCTGCTTTTCTCTGGTTTAACCCACTAATTACCACCTTCTGTGCTCACTGCCTCGCTGCCGGCACTGACGCGCACCGGAGCCAGCACTAACCCACGGCCGCGGCTCCCGGGAGCTCCCGGGCCGCCTGGCACCGCCCGGGGCACGGCACGGCGGGGGCCCGGGGGGCGGGCGGTGCGGGGGAGACCCCGCCCCGGGTGCACGGAAAGGGAGGGCTTGGGGCAGAGTCCGGTGGTTGGGGTCTGCCCGGAGTCAGGTCCGGCCCCATCCCAGCGATCCTGAGATCCGTGCGGGGCTCTGGGGTGGAGAGAACCTGGAGAGCGGCTGGGACGGAGCAGGGAATGCTCGGGGGAGCAGGGAATGTCCAGGGTGGGAAGAGCAAGAGGAAAATGCCTGGAGAGGGTCTGGGATGGAGCAGGGAATGCCAGGATGGAGCAGGGAATGCCAGGACAGAGTGGGGAATGCCAGGACGGAGCAGGAAATTCCAGGATGGAGCAGGGAATGCCGGGACAGAGTGGGGAATGCCAGGATGGAGCAGAGAACGCCAGGACGGAGCAGGGAATTCCAGGATGGAGCAGGGAATTCCAGGAAGGAGCAGGGAATTCCAGGAAGGGGCAGGGAATGCCCAGGTGGGGGGCAAAGAGCAGGACAGGGGCTCCTGCCATGCCAGCAGCCAGGGCAGCTCTGGCTCATCCCGGCAGCTCCTGGGGAGGGTCTGGCCCCTCACTGGGTGTCCCCCTCTCCTGGGACCCCAGGGCTGGATTGTCCCTCTGTCCCTCTGCTCCGGAGCTGGGATGGGCCCGGCTGCAGCCCCAGAGCTGGTGCTCAGCTCGGGGCAGCTGCAGGGGCACCGGCTCTGCCAGGGCATCCTCCAGCTCCCCTGCCCTGCTCGGGTCCCGCAGGATCCCAGGGATGTCCCTCAGGACGGGAACAGGGAAGTGGGGCAGGAACAGCAGCATTTTCTGGGGGATTTTCGGCCCCTCAGGGTGGGAAAGGTCGGGTGCCCCTCGGCAGCTCGGTTGGGATGGCTCAGCCCCACTGGAGCTCACACCAGTGCTCCCAGTTGGTACCAGCACAGAGAAATCCCGGCTGGATTTCTGCTGGTGGCAGCCGGATTTCCAAAGTTGTTCGGGAGGTGCACAAACACCAGCTTGCTTTTGTATTTGAAGTTTTTTGCTCCACTGGGATGTCGGGGCCGGACAGGAGGGAGCTGAGCTTCCCCCACATTCCCTGTCCATGCTCTGGATCCCTGTGGGATGTAGGGCTGGACAAGGGGGAGCTGAGCATCCCTGTCCATTGGGTCCCACAGGGATGCAGGGCTGGAGGAGGGAGCTGAGCTTCCCCCACATTCCCTGTCCATGCTCTGGATCCCTGTGGGATGTAGGGCTGGACAGGAGGGAACTGAGCATCCCTTTCCATCCTCTGTCCATGTTCTGGATCCCTGTGGGATGTAGGGCTGGAGGAGGGGGCTGAGCAATCCCCTCCAGCCCCTGTCCCTGCCGTGAATCCCGCTGGGCCATATGGGATGGACCAGAGGACTGAGCCCCTCTCCCTCCTGGAACTCTGCCGTGCCCCGAAGCGCCGGCGTGGGGGGACCCCAATAATTTGTGGCACCCCGTGGTGCCTCCCCAGGCAAGCCCCGCTGCCACCTGGCCCCTAACCTGTCTGAATTCTCTACCTAGGAGCCGCTGGCGCCGGCAGCCCCGGCCAGCCGGGCGTTCTCCCTGCCCCAGATCGTGCTCACCGAGTGGGTGTCGGAGCCGCCGTCCCCCGACGCCGAGCCGGAGCTGTGGGTGGCACCGGGCAGCGCAGCAGCAGGAGGGCAGCTGCCACCCGAGGGGACAAGGGCAGGCCGTGTGGCGGCTCCTGGCAGCTCCCCAAAGTCCCCGCTGGCACAGGAAGCCCCTCCAGCCCCGCAGCCCCCCGGCAGCGCATCCCGGGCGTTTCCCTTGGCAGCCCCGCCTTTGCCGAGGGATAAAATGGGGGGACAAAGAGGCGACGCGGCTCTGGGCGCTGCCAGCAGGCCAGGAGGCGGTGACAAGGCTTGTTCCCAAAGTCCCGAGGCTGCGCAGCCTCCTCGGAGCCGCGGGGACGCTGCCGGGGCTGCGGCGACCGCGCTGCCCTCCGTGGGTGCCGGGATCATTCCCCAAATTCCCGCTGGCCATGGGGACTCCCAGACTGGAGCCAGGCTGGCTCCTGGACACTCGGCTGGGGCTCCCAAAGCCGCATGGAGGGAGGAGAGCCCGGGGGCGCATCCCGGGGTTCCCGCGGGCGCGGATCCCGCCCCGAGGGCAGCGGGACCTTCCCGGGAGGAGCAGCCGCCCCTGGAGCGGATCCCGGCCCGCTCCAGCCTCGCCACGGCACCTCCGGGATGGGACGGAGGGGCTCCGGCTGCCCGGGGCGACCCCGGAGCGGCGGGGAGAGCGGCGGAGGGGCTCTGCAGAGGCCGCCTGTCCCCCGCGGCCCCGGGCAAGAAGGAGATTTACGAGGACACCTACCAGAGACTGGACAGCCTGGAGGAAACCATCCGCGAGCTGGAAATGACCATCAGCGAGATCAGCAGCCACCCCGCCGTGGAATTCGCGTTCCCCAAGAGCGCGCTGGGATCCCAGGAGGCCGCGAGGAGCCTGGGGGACCTCGGGCACGGAGGCTGCGACGGTGACACCGCGCTGGACCTCAGCCAGGCCAGGGATGGCGCTGCCAAGAGCCCCTCTCCGAGCAGGACCAAGCCAGCGCTGCTCCCCAAGCCGCAGCTGCCCCCCGGCGCTCCCCAGGTTCATTTTCTCTTCTCCCCCGTGCCCTGCTCTGCCCTGGACTCACTCTGATGTCTCTTCCTCTGCCTGCTCCCTCTCTGTGACTCCACCTCCAGGCAGAGCCGGGGGCCAGAACGAATCTTCCTCTTCTCCCTGACACCTGGAGGGCTTTGGGAAGGGCAGGAGTGAGCGAGGCAGGAGCTGGAAGGGACACGGTTCCGGGTGGTGCTGGCTGATCCCATCCTGGAATTACACCTGGATGAGGGGGATTCTTCTGCCCTGGCAGGATTTTGAAGCACCAGGTCCAGGATGGGCATCCCACGGGATCCAAGAGCATCCTGTGGGGTCCAAGATCATCCCACGGGGTCCGGCAGCATCCCATGGGATCCTGTGGGATCCACAAGCATCCCACAGGGTCCAAGAGGATCCCACAGGATCGGCCAGGGCTGGGTGCCGTAGCACCGCTCTCAGTTTCACCATTTTCCATAAAATCCCTCTCCTAACGAGCGGCAGCCGGAGCCTGGCAGATGTTTTTCCCAATTAAACCACGAGCTCCCTGAAGCCATCCCAAATTGCTTTCTGCTGGAATCCAGCTGAATATCTGGGAAAAAAAACAGGGAGGGGAAAAATGCCCTGAGCTCTGCTGCGACGACAACCTGCTCCTTTATTAACAGTCAGCGCTGGGGAATAAATCTCCTTTTCCATTTGGAGCCGTTCTCTCCCTCCTCGGGGGGCTCTCCCGGCTCAACGGGGCTGTAGCTGCAATTTTCCCAGTTTGTTTTCCCGGGAAACGGGAAGTGGAGCTGCGGGATAGATTTCTGCTGGGGCTGGGCAAAGCCAGGCTCAGAGTCAGGCGGGAGAGGCTGTGATGGGTCAGTCCTAAAGCAGAGCAGGGCAGGCGGGGCTGGTGCCGCATTCCAGGGATTCTGAGCATTCCCAGTGCTGGAATGCTGGGGACGGTGTGGCACAGGCTCTTGTGGGGCTCTCCAGAGCTGGGATTTCTCTGACGATCCTCGTGGGCTCCTTCCAGCTGAGGATATTCCATCCTTGGAGGATTTCCTCGTGCTGCGGGGTGCGGGAACTCCCCGTGTGCCCCCCGGGAGGATCCCGGGGTTCTCCCGAGCCATGGATTCCCCAACCTGGGCTGCAACAGGACAGGCAGGAGGCCACCGGGAGGGGACCTTGGCACGGGAGGGGACACGGGGGTGTGTGGCACTGCCGCCTGTGTATCCTCACCTGTGCACAGCGAATAAACTCCTCTGCACTCCCACTGCCGCCGTTCCCACCTGGAATCTGCTTCTGCCTGCCGCCGCCTCTTTCCCTCTCTCTTGGCCCCGCGGGCTGTCCTGTCCCGCCCTCGGTGTCCCGGTGTTTGCCGTGTGTCCCTAAACTCCCTCCCGGGTGCCTCCCGGTAAGTCCGGCGGGGTTTGGAGCTCGGGGCGAGCCGGTGACCTGCTCCTGGCCTGGCCTCGTCCCCACGGGCTGTGCTGGCAGGGGCGGCGCAGCTCCGGGCACCCAGCGGTGCCGCGGGGGCTCCGCCGGCCAATTTTAACCCTTTCCCTCCGGATTTTGTGTCCCGGCAGAGCGGTGGCGTCTCCATCCCGGCCATGAAGGTGGTGAATCCGGCGTCGCGGCTGAAGCAGGGCCAGCAGGGCAGCCCCGACAAGGGCAAGCACATCAAGCAGCGCATGGAGTACATGCGGATCCAGGGCCAGCAGCAGGTACTGCACCCCTAGAGCCGCCCCAGGGCTGCCCGCCGCCCTGGCAGCGCCCTCGGGCACGGCCGGAGCCGGGCACAGCCCCGGGGGGATGAGTTTTGGGACTGCCTTCTCTCCTCCTCGGTGCCTCCTTGGCTTTGGCCGAGCCGGCTTGGGGACAAGGGGACGCGCTGGTGGCGGTGGGGAGGGGCTCTTGTCACACTCTGTGCCCGCCCTGGGGGGGACAGAGACACGAGAGAGTCACAAACTCATCCTCGCTGTGGGGTGAGGCTGCGGCCGCGCTTGTCCCCAGCGCTGGCTGTCACCCTGAGGGGATGGCTGAGCCCCGGCGTTGTCCCCTCGCCCCGGGGGACAGTGCCACCTCCTTGGCCGTGCTGATGAGCGTGGCAGAGCCACCTGAGCTCTGGGGACGGGGATTCCCTGCCTGGGGAGGTTTTGGGGAGCCGGGACCCCCCCCGCCCCGAGCACCCACAGAAGCAGCTTGTGGCTGTCGCAGGCGGGGTGGTGGCACCGTGGGGACAGGGTGAGCGGGCCACAGCAGCTGGAAGAGAAGCGTTTTGGGGTGGGATGGAGCATCCCCAGCAGCCAGCAGCCAGCGCTGACCCCTCCCCACCCCGGGGGCAGCTCCGGGGCTCCCCCCCTCTGTCCCTGCTGTCACCCCAGTGCTGGCCGTGCATTCCCGGCTGGCCCGGGCCACAGCCCAGGGGATCACAGCCACTTGGGTGGCCCCGCTCCCTCCCTGCTGACCTGTCCCCCCCGTCCCAGCCCCCCTTTCCCCCCGGCTGGGCAGCAGCAGCACGGGCGGGCTCACCTGGCCCCCCGCTCTGGCCCCGCTCTGTGTCTTGACCCCTTTTCCACCCCCAAACCGTGCAATAAACCCGATTCTGCTCATCCTCGTGCCTCCCTCACCCCGCCGGACAGAGCGAAGGATTTCCCGGCTGCTCGCAGCAGGGACTGGGGGGGAAAACGTGGAATGAGCAAAACGGGCACCTGTGGGCAAAAAGGGGTCAAACCCCCCTCGGCTGCTCCCTTCCCAGTGGGAAAACCTCCCCAGGGAGGAGGGTTTTGGAGGGTTTTTTGTGGTTTTTGGAGGGTTTTTCTGGGTTTTTGAGGTTTTTGGGGGTTTTTTGAGGTCCTTGAGCTCGGGGTGTCCCTGAGTGTCCCCTCTGGCATGCGAGGTTGTCCCACCCCATGGAATCAGGGGGGCAGGGGCTTCCCTCTGGATTCCCCGTGGAATCGGGGGGGGCAGGGGGTTCCCTCTGGATTCCCCGTGGAATCGGGGGGGGGCACAGGGGGTTCCCTCTGGATTCCCAGTGGAATCGGGGTGGGCAGGGAGTTCCCTCTGGATTCCCCCTGCTCCGGACAAACCTGAGGGGCTGGGAAGCATCTCCTGACCCCTGGGGCCACCAGGTCCCCTCCCCTGGAGGCCACCCAGCAGCCCAGCCCCGGCTGTCCGGTGTCACCACCTTGGTGACATCTCAGTCCCCCGTGGCCCTCGCTGGGGTGGCCTCAGCAGGACTTTTCCGTGTCACTTTTGTCCCCGTGCAGGATTTGGGGGTGCCCACCCCCCTCCTCCCTCACTGGGGGCACGGCGGGGCTGGAGGATCCCGGATCCCTCTCCTCATCCCTGGGGGATTCTCGGCGTCATTCCCGAGCCGGGTCGGGCCGTGCCCGTGCCCCCCTGGCACAGCGGGGACAGGGACAGGGACAGGGTGGGCACGGCCACCCTCGGGCGCTGCCCCGGGGGCTGTGCCCGCTCTAACGCTGCCCTTCTTGTCCCCCCTGTGCCTCCCCCGTGTCCCCTGTGCCCCCCCGGCTGTGTGTGCCTGTGTGTCCGCGTGCCCGTCTGTCCGTCCGTCCGTCCTCTCCTCGCGGGCCGTCCCCTGCCCCTGCAGTGACGCGTGGGACCCGCTCTTGTCGCGCTCTCTGTGGTGGCCCTTTCCAGCTGCTTGACCTCAGGCCTGACTCAGTGCTGCTTCTGAACGAGCTCCCTTTGCTTCTCGGTTGTTTTTGGGTTTTTCCTGTCCTTGTTCCTGTTGGTTTTTTCCTCTTTTTTTTTTTTTTTTTTTTTATTTCTTTTTTTTCTTTTTTTTTTTTTTTTTTTTTTTTTTTTTTTCATCTTGTAACATGCATGCATTTCAAAACAGTAACAGTGTCTCAAACTGCTCCTAGCAAACAGACAAGCACAGAGGACTTCAAATTCCTATTTAAAAAACAGCAGTGAAAAAACCTAAAATGTTCCTTTTTTTTAATTTTTAAATTTTTTTTAAAGTTTTTTAGGTTTTTTTTTTGTGTTTAGTTTTTAGTTTAAACTTAATTTATTCACATTTTTTTCTTTTCAATTCAGTTGCACTGATTAGCCCTGCCCACCCTTGTGACCTGTGTGTGGAATCTGCTCCCTCCACTCCCATCCAGCTGCTTGGGCAGCCCCAGAGCAGCAGAAATTTTGAGTTGTTTCCACTAAAAACGATGTGTCCAGAGCTCTGCCGTCCCAGTTTTCCATGGGATCCATCCCACAGAGCCAGGACAACAGGCAGGGGCTGAGGGGGACACTGGGAGTGGCTCTGCAGGAAGGGGACATTTGGGAATTTGGGGCTGTGGCCACGCTGGGGATACCCCCCTGCTTTTGGGGAAAATTCTTCAGCTGGGGGTGAAATTCCAGGTGCAGCTGGAAGGGGGGCTCTCTTTTTTTTTTTTTTTTTTTTTTTTTTTTTTTTTTTTTTTTTTTTTTTTTCTTTTTTTTTTTTTTTTTTTTTTTTTTTTAAGCTTTCTCTTTTATTTTTCTTTGGACTTTCCGCCCCTTTCTCCTCCTCCTCGTCCTCCTTGAATCTTGCTTTTCTTTCCAGGCCACTAGACCATCTAAAGAGGCCAGTGAGACCTCCCCCACGGTCTCAGAAAAGCCCGCAGCTGGCAGAACATCCATCCCCGTATTGACTTCCTTTGGGGCCAGGAACTCCTCCATCTCATTCTGAGCGCCCCTGCCAGCTCCGCCCGGCTCCTCCTCTCTTCCTCGGGCTCCTCTTCCTCCCTGGGACTTGGCTTCTCCTTGAGGCGCTCTGGAGGGAATCCGCCACCTCTGTCCCCTCCTCTTTCTGTTCGATCCATGTTTTTGTCGCCTCCGCTCCGCCAAAAGAACTTTTGTTGTGTCGCCTGTGCCGCGCCTCGGCCCGACGTGTGTGTCCCCTCCTCTCCGCCATGGCCAACCAGCCACTTTCTGTTTCTCTCTCTCTCTTTTTTCCCTCCTTTTCTCCTGTTCTTCCCTCCCCTCTGGATCTCTGTTGGTTTGGTCCCCCCTCCCCTCTTTTCCCCCCCTTTCCCCTCCCCTCCTTTTTTTTTTTTTTGGATTTTTTTCGTTCTTTTCTGTTTATTTAAGAGCTCTCAGAGCTTCCCCCCACCAGCGTCCGGCCAGGAGCAGCTTCCAGCTCCCCCCGCGCGGAAAATCGGGAAGCAGCGGCCGCCGAAGACACCCCCGGAGCGACCCCCGGAGCGACCCCCGGAGCGACCCCCGAGCGCCCCGGGAGCGGCCGCCTTGTCCCCGCAGGAGGAGAGGACAGCTCCGGCCGGGGCTCGCCGGTGGGTGGCGGGCGGGGCCGGGGGCTCGGGGACACCCCGGGGCTCGGGGACACCCCGGGGCGCTGCCGCCGCCGCCGCCGCCACCGCGTCCCCTCGAGGGGGTCCCCGGGAGTGCCGGAGGGGCCGCAGGGCGTGAATTGGGGAGGGGGCCGGGACCTAGCGGCCGGGGGGTGCGGTGATGCCGGGGGGGTCACCCCGCCGCGGCTCTGTCCCCTCCCGGTGGGGACGAGCGGGCGGGACGGGACCCGGAGCCCCGGGGGAGCAGCCCCGGCCCCGGCCAGCCTGGGGGGGAGCGGGGCCACAGGTGGGCCCAGGTGGGCTCAGGTGTGCCCAGGTGTGCCCAGGTGTGCCACAGGTGCACTCCAGGTGTGCTCAGGTACACTCCAGGTGTGCCCAGGTGGGCTCAGGTGTGTCCAAGTGTGCCCAGCTGTTCCCATGTGGTCCCAGGTGGTCCCAGGTGTGCCCAGGTGTGCTCAGGTGCACTCCAGGTGTGCCCAGGTGGGCCCCAGGTATGCCCAGGTACACCCCAGGCGTGCCCTAGCTGTACCCACCTGTGCCCAGGAGGGCTCCAGGTGTGGCCCAGGTGCTCCCTCAGGTGTGCCAGGTGCACCCAGCTGTGCCCAGCTGTGCCCAGGTGTGCCCAGGTGTGCCCAGGTGTACTCTAGGTGTACTCTAAGTGTGCCCAGGTGTGCCCAGGTGTGCCCAGGTGTGCCCAGCTGTGCCCAGGTGTGATCCAGGTGTACTCTAGGTGTACTCTAAGTGTGCCCAGGTGTGCCCAGGTGTGTGTGTGCGTGTGCTCTGCGTGTGCAGCACGAGATCCAATCACTCCTTCCGTTCTCTGTTTCGTCCTTGGGTTGATTATTTTCGGGGTTTTTTTTCAATTTCAATTCCTTTTTTCTTCCTTTTCCCCCCTCCTCTGATTTTGTGTTCTGGTTTTTTTTATTTGTTTGATTTTTGTATCTCGATCATTTTTGTACAGAAGAAACGAGAGCCTTTTTTTGAATAACAAAGAGAAAACACACACAAAAAAGAACAAAAAACCAAAAAAAAAAAAGACCAAAAAAAAGAAAGGTTAAAAAAAAAGGAAAAAAAAAATCATGATGCAATTTCTTTGGATTGCAAAAAAAGCAACTCTTTACATTTAAGTGAAGTGTCTTAACATTTTATATTGTTTTAAAAAATATATTTACATATTATATATATATAATATACGTAATATAAATCTATATATAAATATTTAAAGAGGGGAAAAAAAACTTTAAAAAAACTGAAAAAAAAAAGGAAAAAGAAGAGAAATAAATAAATCACGTCCGGTATTATTTAGGGGGTGGAATTAAAATCCCTGCTTAGGTTTAGAGCTCCTGTGGTTCCCAGAGCGGCTTCGCGCTGAGTCCCCGCCCTCTCTCCTTGTCCCCAGCTGTCCCCAGGTGTCCCCTGGTGGCCGCGGGGACCCCGCCCGTCCCCCAGTGCCAGCAGCAATAGCAGCCACTGACGCGTTTGGAATTAATTTCGTTTTTAATTCATTTCTGTTCTCGGTACCAAAGTGAATTCTCTGTAGCAAAGCCGCAGCTCCGGGGCCGGGCGGGAGGTGGCACCTGGCGCTGTCCCCTCCCCTGCCCCGCGCTGTCACCCTCTGTCACCTTGTGTCACCCGAGGGGTGACAGCTCCCGAGCTCTGCTGGCTGGAGGTGACAGTGCCACTCTGTGGGGACACCCAGATGGAGGTGACAGTGCCACTCCCTTGGGGACAACCGCACTGAGGGTGACAATGCCACCCCTGTGGGGACACCCAGATGGAGGTGACGATGCCATCCCTGTGGGGACACTCAGACTGGGGTGACAGTGCCACCCCTGTGGGGACAGCCACACTGAGGGTGACAATGCCACTCCCTTGGGGACACCCAGATGGAGGTGACAATGCCATCCTCCATGGGTGACAATGCCCCCCCCTTGGGGACGCCCAGACGGGAGGTGACAATGCCATCCTCCTTCATGACACCCTCGGAAATGTCGCGGGGAGTGACAATTGCCACCCTGGTGGTGACAAGCACAGAAAGGACACGAGGAGGTGACAATTGCCACCCTCCATGGGGACACCCACATGAGGCGGGTGACAAGTGGCAACCCACAATGCCACCCTCAAAAATGCCACGGGAGGGTGACAATTGCCACCCCCGTTGGGACACCCACGTGAGGAGGCGACAACTGCCGCCCTCCATGGGGACACGCCCAAAAATGACACTGGAGGGGGCTGTCCTCAGTGTCCCCACCTTGGTGTCCCCACCCCGGTGTCCCCAAGCTGTCACCGATTTTGGGGCGGTGGGGGGGGGGGGGGGGGGGGTTGTCCCTTTTCCCACCCCCACTTTGTCCCCAGGCCACCCCTCCCAGCTCGGCGTCGCTCAGGGAGGTGACAGTGACAAACCCGGGGGTGGCAGCGCCGGGTGAGGGGGTGGCAGGCCCCAGGCGGTCCCCAAGCCCCCCCCGGTGTCCCCTTTTCCCGGCTGGTGTCCCCGTGAGCGTGATGTCCCCGCGTGCGTGTGCGTCCGTCCCCTTCATGGCATCGCGCTAATCCCTCGCTGAAGCAAGAAGACAACAACAAAAAAACAACCAAAAACACCCAAAACTAACAAAACAACTCAGTTCTGGTTCAGACCAGGTAAAAAAACATTTCAAAAATCATTTTAAAAAAAGAGGAAAACGTGTAAAAATGACAAAAAAAAAAAAAAGCCCAAAGCCAAGCGCTGCCTGCATCGTGCATGTGCCGGAGGCGCCCGCTGCATGCGCTCCCCGCTTTACTCGTCTGGATGTTGTTTCAAAACAAACAAACAAAAAAAAAAGGCTACGACTCTGAAAAGGACAAAAAAAAAAAAAGGACGAACTGAGAAGAAAAAGAAAAAAAAAAAAAAAAAGGCTACGACTCTGAAAAGGACAAAAAAAAAAAAAGGACGAACCGAGAAGAAAAAGCAAAAAAAAAAAGGAAAAACAAGGAATTTCTGGTTCTCCTTAGAGGCTGTTTTGGGGTTTCTACGCCGTCGTGTGTCTCTCTCTCTCTCTCTCTCTCTCTCTTCCGCATGAATTTTCTCGTGAACTGTTTTAAAAAGGAAATAAAAGGAACAAAAAGTACAAAAAAAAAGAGTTGAAAATGGAGGGGAAAAAAAAAAAAGGAAAAAAAAAAAAAAAAAATGAAAAAAAAAAAAAAAAAGCCTCGCACAGGGGAAAAGCGGGGGAGGGGAGGGAGGGGACGCCCCCACCCTGTGCCACCCCCCCGCTGTGTCCCCCGTGTCACCGTGGATGCCATGGGTAGTTGTGTGTGACCGTTGTAATTCCCGTGACAAAAGGGTTGCTTTTTATTATTTTCCTTTTTCCCTTTATAATTTTTCTTTTCTATCAGAGTGTCTGGCTTTAATAAAATTACCTTTTTTTTTTTTTTTTTGCCTCTTTTTCTGTCTTTTTCTGGCGATTTTTCCCCTCATTTTTACCCCCTCTCCCTGAATGTTGAGAAATTGAGAATTGAGAAATTTGAGAAAATTGAGAAATTGAGAATTTTGATGGGGATGGGGCATCCCTAGTTCTGTTGTTTCCTCCCCACAGGCTCAGAGAAAAATGAGATTTATCCTCCCATGGATAAATCCAGGAATAAAAATTCCCAGCACCAGGAATTTGAGGTCCCTGCCCATCAAAAAATTGGGAATTAATACCAGCAAAACCTTGAATAACCAGTTTATTTCCAATATATAGACTGGAGGTGGGGGGACCAAAGCAGGGGGGATTTTTCGGGTTGGTTTGGGGTTTTTTTTTTTGCAGTTTTGCAGATCCCGACAGGGCCGGGAATGGGGTGGGAAGGGGTTTGGGGGGACATGCAGGAGGGTTTTAAAAAGTCACCACTGGTCCAGCACGTCCCCTGCTCGGGGCTGGCCTTTCCGCTGAGCAAAACTTCTTAAAAAATCCTTATAAATCCTTTGGGATATGTTACACGGGCAGGGCCGGTATTTACAGGGGGAAACGGACAAAAAACAACCCCAAAAATATCGAAAAGGAAAGAAAAACAAACTTTACAGCAAGTACTTGCATAACGTATGAGAACGACACGGAGAGACGGTGACAGGGCGCGACACCAGGTGGCACTTGTGTCCCCGCGTGGCCAGGCCGGGGGTCCCCAAACTCCCTTCCTAAAGTGCTTCTGGCCTGGGGGGCAGGAAGGGGACAGCCGTGGGAGGGGACAGGGACGTCCCAGGACGTGCCACACGCGGCTCGGGGGGGTGAAGGGTGGCAGTGTCCCCCTCTGCCGCCGGGTGTCCCCCTCAGTGCCACCCCCTCCCTGGCTCCCCCCCTCAGCAGAGCCCCCCCAGGTGAGGGTGACAGCGCTGAGGTCCCCAAGGGACACCAGCACATGGGGAGCGGTCCCTGAGACGGGACCCCCAAGGTCCTCAGGGCATGGAGAGTCCCCAGGGTCCCCAGGGCAGGGGTCTGTCATCAAGGTCACCAGGGCAGGGGTCTCTGACACCAAGGTCCCCCAGGGCAGGGGTCTCTGACCCTGATGTCCCCAGGGTCCCCAGGGCAGGGGTCTGTCATCGAGGGCAGATGTCTCTGACCCTGATGTGCCCCAGGGCAGGGGTCTCTCATCGAGGTCCCCAGGG